TCAGAAAATCCAAACCAAATCTTTCTTAAATAAAATAACACCACCAGAAGAACAGTGTTTAATATTTTTAAAACCCTGTAACTCAGTTTCAATTCAGTTTATTTCTAAAGTGCAAATTCACAACACACGTCATCTGTACTGGTGAACTTTCTGGTGAATCAGATTGATTCAAAGTTTTCTATCTAAGGAAAACCAGCTGATTTTATCGACTCATTGACTCCATGGCAATCCCTCACACTAAGCATGCTTGTAGCGACAGTAGAGAGGAAAAACTCCCTTTTAACAGGAAGAAACCTCCAGCAGAACCAGGCTCAAGCCGAGCTTACATCTTTTCGCTGCGACTTTCCAGTCGTGCGAGAATTTTCCAAACGGCCCCACTTTCAGCCTGATCGTGCGTGGTTTTGTGTACAGGGGGTAACGAGGGGCGTTCAGCCTCTAACGACCACCTCCCGCTCAGAAATCGTGAGGTCGGGAGAAAATCGAACATATTTGATTTTCAGTCGACCGTCGTGGGCAAATCGCTCAGCGCGCAAACAAGGATTCTTCTTCTTTCTCTCAGATGAAAACACAAAAGCGTGGTGGGGGAAATGGAGTGAACTGGAGTTCTTTCTGTAAAATTGACAGACTGTAGTAGCCCGTTTGCTCAGCCATGTCTTTGTCCAAAAACTTCGCCCTTTTTTTTTTTAGGGCTTTCAGCACTAAATAGGAAAATTGCCAATGCAGCGCGTTTTACTCTAGTGAGCTTCATATTCCTCTTCTACTCCTTTGGCTTCCAGATAGACGAGTCCATGTAGTGCCATCTCACTCCAGGGCTGAGCATGCTGCAGCTGCGTGCAACAACTGAAAAGATCATACAGTGTATGCCCGGTTTCAGTGTGAGCGGCCATCTGCTGAGGCCGACTGGGTTTCAAGGAAACAGAAGCAGAGATACAAAAAGCAACTGTAAAAGGCGGCCCTGTCCAGGAAACACACAGCCACGCAGACGAGCTCCAAGCCAGCTCCCATGCCAGAGGATGAAGAGAGCACATCCAGTCAGTCACAGTGAGAGAAACAGGACTACACTGGAAAACAGGCCAAGCTCCAACATCTATAAACAAAGGTGTTGATGGCAGCAGCACAGCTGATATTTCTCTCCAGGATGGAGTCACAGCCAAACAGGAACAGACCAGATGAAGCTACTATGAGAAAAAGCAGAGAGAGCAGAACGTTAGAGATTGAACTAACAGATTCTGCAGAGTGGGAGAATAGAGATAGAATGAAGCAGAATGATGAAAAAGGGGTTCCTACACTGCAAAAACGATCTAGAAATAAGTAAATATTTCTTACATTAAGTGTATGTATCCTTATTTTAAGAAGGTAAATGAGGTAGTTTGCCAATGAAATTAGTATTTTTACTCTTAAAATAAGATAATTAGATAAAATGCACTTGAAATAAGATAATGCAATTTTGCTTTTGTTTTTTTATGTAAATTGTCTTGTTCCATTGGCAAAATGTCTCTTTTACCTCTTCAATTCAAGAAGAAATGCACTTATTTAAAGAAAAGATTACTTATCTACATTTCCATTTTTTCCAGTGTATGTCCTATCTAAACTGATTCATTTTTACAGATCCCTATACTGAGGATGCCTAATATTTTTAGCCTTTAAATGTGTTATCTTTCATTGCATCTACATCCTTACATAATTACAGCGATGATGACCTCACCATGAGCAGAGAGTTCACACTGAGAAACTGCATCAGCTTCAAGTGACAGGAATCAATAAATGATTGACTCTGCTGTCATTTCACACTAATATTTGGAGAAAACTGGCCTGATTATGGAAAACAGAAAGGAAATGGCTTCTAAAGCAGTTTCCTAAAGAGCTGAGACTTTTACAAATGTATGGGGGGTATTTTGTTTCTTCATTATTGGAAATTTATTACTGGAAACTCTTTTGATTGACTTAGACAGACCTTTTATTGTCATTTTGTATGCACAGAAAGTATACAAAATTTTGTACAGCTTAATACAGTGTAATGATATTGCAGTTGGAGTAAATAAACATTTCCAATATTAAGTGCAGCAGAATGTAACAACATAGGAGAAAAACAAACCAATTTAAATAATGCTGCATGTGTGCATTAATATGAAAAACTTCCTTGCAATGCATTGATTGGGTTCTACAAATTGCATTGTCATTATCTTCACTTCACGGCCAATAAAACATCAGCTCTTGACCAATTAAAATGTTGTTGCATACATCTATGCAGACCCATAGAAATGCATCTAAAAAGAAAAAGAATATGTTCTGTAAAATGCTATTTGAATAAAATAGAATTCCTAAAACAATCTGTAGAACACAAATGTGAAAAATCTGTAACAAAAAATATTACTTGAATTAATAACATATGAGAAGACAGCCAAGTTCCTCTTAGAACCGTCTTTGATTAAGAAGTTTTTCAAAGGTTCATTTCAGGATAAGATTCATTCATGTCCATTAAAGTGTAAAGCAGCAGTAGCAATGGTAAGTATATTAAACAATCAATTTGTGTTTAAAGCATCTTCAGAAGTGGACAATAATATTATCAAAGTGCTCAGAAAAAATAAGTTTTCCAGCTAAAAATGCCACAGCTGCACCAACTATTTATCTGCTTTTGTTAGAACTGCTGTCCTCTCAAGGTTATGTGCTCAGTGTGTTTGTGTGTGAGGGGATTGTTAGTGGCTTATTAATATTAGAGCTCTGTGGTTTCTGCAGCTACAGAGCAGCAAAGGCTTTTCTCTCAGCTCTAAAATTCTCATGTTAGCATTTTTCCGTACAGTTTCAGAAAACAGCATATTTTTCACAGATATGCAGATTCTTTTCGTACTCTTCCTTTTAAATTCAATCCAGTTTTGATCATATAGCTCCAATTCACACCACGTCATCTCAAGGCACTTTACAATTCAACCAGATCATCCAGTCAAATTGATTAAAGTTAAAGAAAAACCAGTTGATTGCATCAACTTATCGACTCAAATGCAATCTCTCACGCTAAGCATGCTTGTAGCGACAGTGGAGAGGAAAAACTCCCTTTGAACAGGAAGAAACCTCCAGCAGAACCAGGCTCAGTGTGAGCGGCCATCTACTGAGGCCGACTGGGGTTCAAGGAGACAGAAGCAGACTTTTTATAGATAGATGTTCAAACCTTGGGATATCTGATCCTGCTCTAAGCTGCCTCCGCCCCCGACCTGTCTGCCATGTTCCTCGTTCTCCAGGATGCTCTTTGTTCTCCAACACAAAGGTTCACAAAATCTTTGATTTCTGATCCACATAATAGCAACAGTGAGATTGTTGATCCAAACTTCTGATTGCACTACAAACACCCCCCCCCCACCCCCAACGTTTCTATTCCCATCCAAGAATTTTTTTCAATTCAAAATGTCAGAAATATATGGAAGAGGATTAGGGCCACTGAAAAAAAAAAAAAAAAAAAGTTAATTGATTTTTTTTTAAATCTTATTTCTACGGAAGAGGATTAAGGCCACTGGGGAAAAAAAAGTTTACTGATTTTTAAATTTTATTTCAGTATAACATGGGAAAAAAGTCAAAATTCTGACTTTTTTCTCAGAATTCTGACTTTAATCTCAGAATTCCGACTTTAATCTCAGAATTCCGACTTTAATCTCAGAATTCCGACTTTAATCTCAGAATTCCGACTTTAATCTCAGGATTCCGACTTTAATCTCAGGATTCCGACTTTAATCTCAGGATTCCGACTTTTTTCTCAGAATTCCGACTTTTATCTCAGAATTCCGACTTTTTTCTCAGAATTCCGACTTTAATCTCAGAATTCCGACTTTTTTACTCAGAATTCCGACTTTTTTCTCAGAATTCCGACTTTAATCTCAGAATTCTGAGATTAAAGTCGGAATTTTGACCTTTTTCCCCATACTATACTGAAAAAAAAAAAAAAAAATCAGTTAACTTTTTTTTTTTTTCAGTGGCCCTAATCCTCTTCCGTAGAAATAGCTTTGAATTTGAGGGGGTAGTTAGAGGGAGTTGTTGGCCTTCCCTCTATCCACCCCCCTTTCAGAGACGTTATTTCTGTTATTTCTACGGCCCTGTCCAGCTCTCCTGGAGTAACTGCCTGTCTCATGGAATCTCCTCCATGCTCTTGAGATTGTGCTGGAAGACACAGCAAACCTTCTGGCCATCGTGGAGGAGTTGGACTGCCTGTGCAACCTCTGTAAAGTCCAGGTAGCGCCTCATGCTAACAGTAGTGACAGTGACCCTAGCCAAATGCAAAACTGGTGAAAAAGAGTCAGAAAAGATGAGGAGAGGAAAAAATGTCGGTGTCCTCCACCTGTAAAACCATTCCTGTTTTGATGGTCGTCTCGTTGTTGCCCCTCTAGTTCACCTGTTGTTCATTTCATTAACACCAAAGCAGCTCACTGGAAAAAAATCTAAATCTAGATAAGTCATTATTTCTTAAAATAAGTGCATTTGTTCTAAAACACAATTGCATTGTCTTATTTTAAGTGCATATTATCTAATTATCTTATTTTAAGAGTAAAAATACTCATTCCATTGGCAAACTATCTAATTTACCTACTTTAATTAAGGGTAAATTTAAGAAATTTGTACTTGTTTCAAGATTCTGCAGTGAAACTGATCAACAAATCCCTCTGCTACTTACCTGACCAAATCAATATCCCAGAAGTTTAATTAACTTGATGCTTTACTCTGATTACAAAGTGTTCCTTTAATTTTTTTGAACAGTGTATATCTAATTCCATTTTTCATTATAATTTTGCCTCCTTTAACCCTCCGTATTCTATGTTTTAAACACCAGGATATGACTCCTTTAAAAATCCCTTCAAACTGCTTCAGCAATGCAGAAGTATATTTCTGCTCTGAAATCAATAAAATGCTACAATCATATATTATATATAAATCCACCATGTTGACCTGAGTAGGAGTAAAACTATGAAACCAAAACCAGAGCAGAATAAAAAAAAAACTCACCCAGCCAGAAATGATGAACTGTGGAAAATCACTTTAATAAAACTCCTATGAAAACAAAAAAAGGCAACACAGTTAAAGCCTGTACATTTTACAACATCCAGTGTTTGAGACTTCTGAAGGCTAATGGTGCGATTTACAGCCGCTTCTCCCGCGAAGCACGACGCAAGACGAACTCGTAGAGCCCGAGATTAAGATCAGATTTGATGGGACATTAACTGGGATATTGCACAAACGATGAATACAGAAGCAGATTCTGGAACCGTATGACGGAACAAGACGTACCTCTACGTCACAGTCTAACATTTAGCTTTTTTATGACAAATCCCGCCTACCGGTAAGCTGGCTCCGCCCACGTCCACTGGTATAAGAACCAATGCACTTGACAGAGTGGGAAACAGGTTTGCACATTCAGCTCGGAAACAGATTATTAAAACCAGAGGATAAAAAAGATTTTTGGTTGTAACACGTTAAAATAATCAGCATTTGACATCGCTGCTTGTTGGCCCTTTAAAAAAAAAATAAAAAAAATTTTAAAAGTCAAACAGGACAGTCATGGTAATGCTTCAGAATCTGTAGGTTTAAAAACAATAAAAATACAAACAGAATAAAGTGTTTAGTTTATTAAAAGTCTTTTACTCAAAGGGCTCTAAAAACATTCGAGTGCAGAGAGGTCCAAGTCGGACCGCGGACCACGAAGCTCTCCTTCCCCTCCACTTCACCCTGTGGACTAGTAAAGTAGTCTGGCACGTAAATGTTTCTTACACAGTAAAAACAAAAGAAATACAATCTTCCTGCAGTTTGGCGGCGGCCCTTCAGACGATGGGTTCGAGGTCGCGGCGCTCGCCGTTTTAAGACATGGAGGACTTCTCTGTTGGAAGTTTCTTTATCGCAGCCCAGCTGGTTGAGGGCTGTGGTTGAGATAAACGTTTCCCAGCAGCCTCCCTGAAACGCTGTTGTAGTTCATGATGCTGCAGCTTCTCTACAGGGAGGTCTTCGCCCCCCTCTTCTAGCCGCCTCCTCCACCAGCCGTCCAGTCCGTGCAAATCTAGCATTAATGGCAATTCCACAGAAATGATTCCAGACCATCGTTTTGAAGTCCGTGGGGGCACCATGCCATGGTTTCAGAGGGCGAGGAGGAGGTTGCAGGGTACCTGAACTACCCTGTAGTAGATAATCTTTTTTTATTTACAGTGTTTGTTTTGAGCTACTTCCCTTCTTTAAACCAGGGTTTTATATATAAATATTCATGCCCCCCCTACGCCGTCTCTTTGGCTCCGTCTACACCTCCCATCACAGACTTCCTGACCCCCAGGGTTCCAGCGGCTCTAGGAGCGGTTGTCTTTGGCCACGTTGTGGGCCATCCAGTTCACCTTGGTCGTCCAGCTTTCTCTTAGTGCCTCGTCAAACTTTTGGCGAAACTGTTTCAGGGCCTCATCGTCCGTCTTCCCCAAAGCCAGAGAGTCCTGATAAGAGAAGAGAGGAAGGGTTAGTGAAGACTGCAGGAAGACAATGATGATGACTTAAAGGCTGGTTATCCTCCTATAGCAGTGTGTAGCAGGTATGATGCAGATATTTTTGATTTATGCCCAATATTGAAGCGTGGTCTGCGTTATGTTATTCCACGCCACAACGCAAGAGGGACAATCAGGAACTAGCTGTGGGTCTAGATACGGCCGAGGCGGCGAGGAAGTGGGGGCGAGTTTAGTCTGACGACGGAGGGACATGAGGGCCAAAAAGAGCGGAGATCCAGGTGGAAAAAGGGTCCCAGCGTTCTCGCGCACCTCGCTCTTCTAGCGGGTCAAACTTCACATCAAATCCCATCAAATTTCGCAATTTCGGTCATAAAAACAAAACAAGCCGGCCTCCTGTCTGCTGCACTGTTTGCGGTCAGCTACAATGTGGGAGAGGAGCAGCGGAGCGTCTGTGGAGGGGACGGGACGTCTGGAGCCGAGGTATTGCATTGCACTCATTGCACTGATTATGTGCAGTATTTTTTGATACAACTTTTCTACTTCTGTTATTTGCTGTTGTTTCTAAAAAAAAAAAAAACGCATAACAATATTACAGCTTTCATTGATTTATTTCAAACTTGAAACTTTGTTTAGCCTGTAAGGTGTTAAAAAAAAAAAAAAAAAAAAAAAAAAAATAACCGATTAATCGATTAATAAAATTGAATCGTGGTGTATTCTTGAGTATCGAAAATAATCGAATCGTTGGGTCAGGAAATCGATACTGAATCGAATTGCCATGATGGATGTGATTTACACCCCTAATCAGAGGCCTCCTGTCTGCGGTCACCTATAATTTTGGAGAGGTGCAGCAGAGTGTCTGCGGCAGGGGGGAGGGGGGCATATCTGTGTTGACTGCACACGCGCAGACGACCTGGTTTCTGGGCATAAACCAGGCTTTAGGCAGTTTCTCTATATGTGTACTTGTGCGTTCTCATGCTTGTTTACTCAAAAAAACGTCATCAGCTTCAGCCCTAGTACTGTCCCAATTCGCAGCAAGACCGAGAACGGACAAAGTCCCCGGATGTTGTTCTCGCCCGTCCCCAGAGATGGGAAGTAACGAAGTACAAATACTTCGTTACTGTACTCAAGTAGATTTTTCTGATATTTTCACTTTACTTTACTACTTATTTTTATGGCGACTTTTTACTTCTACTTCTTACATTTTTACACAAATATCTGTACTTTCTACTCCTTACATTTTCAAAAATTGGCTCGTTACTTTAGTTTTGAATCATTTCAATGGAGTTACCGTTATTATTTTTCACGTCATCAATACCAAATTCAATCTAATTGGATGGGAATCTACGTTGCATTTGACGCACCACTACAAGATGAATCGACAGATTCGGCGGTATTCATTGGCGGCAAATCATTGCAGCTTGGTGGCGGTGGCGTTAGCATAGTAGCATGGACGACGAGATGATTGAAAATGAACACAACGGAGATCTAGTCCTATTGGCAGACATCCATTTAAAATGTAGGCAACGGCATGAAAAAGTGGTTTCTACTTTTACTTTTATACTTTAAGTAAATTTACAAGCCTGTACTTTGTTACTTTTACTTGAGTAAAGAAGTTTAATCAGTACTTCCACTTTTACCAGAGTATTTTTTAACACAAGTATCTGTACTTTTACTCAAGTACGGAAAGTGAGTACTTTTGCCATCTCTGCCCGTCCCTCATTACCCAGGATGCATCTGAGCAGACGTGTCTGTTCTTGAGACTGACCGCTGTCCCAGCATGCACTGCGGCAGCAGCAGCTTCCAGGTTAGCACTCACAGAGCTCAGAGCATGAAGTTAAAGGTTCTCTTATCTGTTGCTGTTGTTCAATAAAAGTATGTTTTTAGATCATTTAAGGCGAGAACATTATAGTTTTAAGTGTCACTATATGGCCCATTTACCGATTTAGTGCGTAATTTAAAAAAAGTTCTGATGTTGAGAGCACCCAGGCTAACAGCAGCCAGGGCTAACGTTAGCCCGTCTGCAGTAGCCCTCTCTCTGCATAGCCTTGAGTGAAGTACAGCTGGCTCTGATGGAGAGTTTTTTTGTTTTATTTGGTAAAATGTTCACTTGATTCGTGTTTATCTGACTGTGCTCATTATTATTCCCCCACTAAATGAAAAAGTAAGAATTTATTATTATCTAGAGACTATTAATAACAGGGGGTGAAATGCAGCTCCAGACGAGCCGAGCGTGTGGTGATGTCATCAGCATGCTTCTGTTCCATATTGACCCAGATTTATGCTGCGTGGTCACGTTCTCCCCGAGTCCAGACTTTCCTGTGTTCTTTTCAAGAACATACTTGGTGAGTCTGTACTAGTTTTTTTGTGAATTGAGAAATGGCTTGAGAGTAACGGCCTTCTACCATCCACACAGTAAAATCAACACAATTTTCCTGATCTAATCTGTGCTTCAGTACAGACTTTCTATTAACAATCAAATTTTGCAAATAAGAAAATAAATTTGAAACATAGAAACACCGCAATTTTGGAAAGAAAAACGTTTTCTATAGAAGGTTTTTACGCTTTGATGGAGTGGACTTTAAGTAGTTATGAAATTCTTACATTTTGACACACTGCAATAAAAACGCTTTTTCGTGCATTGCATGAATCTTACTGCCTCGTGAAAAACAGCATAGAGAAGGTGGCGCCCTCTAGAGCCGTGGCTGAAATATGGATATATAATGTGTTTACATCTGCCATGTATTGAGTTATTGGCCCTAATGAGACCATCCATGATCTCGCGAGCTTTCAAGGTTTCACTCGCAGATCAGTCTGGAGACTCTCCGTTGAAGAAAATTTGGAGCCGTTCACCAAACGAACGTCCAATCAGCGTTGGCTTTGAGGCGGGTTGAGGTGTGACGCAACGAGAAGCGCGACAGTTCAGTCTAAAGAACATGGCGGCTTCAGCCGATGAAACTAGCGTTAGCGTGGCTATCGAGCAAGTTTTATCAGAATTACAGAGTATTTCTTCACTGAAAGAAGGTTTCGGCAAGAGTAGCCTGGCTATTAGTACGTCATATGCTTCGTTGATCTGATTGGTTTATTTGGCCCGTCTATCACCAACATAGGCCAATCAGCTAACCAATATTTTTGGCCCTTCCCAAAATTACTTCAACGGAAGGTTTCCAGATGGATATGCGGAGCAAATCCATCTGGCGTTGTCAGGTTATTGAGTTATCACCTCAACAAACATTTTCATTGTAATTTTAACTGGATTTCCTATTTCATGGAAATTATTTCTACCAACGATAATTTTTTTTATGGTTATAAAATAAAAAAATCAAATACAGGATGGACACATTTTCTTATGCTGTATTATGTTCATACATAATTTCTAACTGAATTATATATATATATAAAAAAAATCTAAATTGAATTGCAAAACAGTCCACATAGGTAAAAAATAAAAACAGAAAGAAAAATGCAAAAACCTGTATTTATTTATTATGTCTATATTCAGACACATCAGATGGTTCTTTATTTTTTTTAAACAAAATTATTAAATAGGAGTGTGGAAGGTTGTGGCTGCAGAGCTGCGCCACGCTAAACTCAGTGCTAACTGATGGAGACACTCCTCCACATTATGTCTACATGAATACAAAGGTTGGATTAAAGCAGCTACACTGTGGTCGCTAACTGCTGAGATCAATGTTTGCTTACAGGAAATAAAAGAGGAAGTTTAAACATGCCTGGTGATCAGAGAAGAAGAAGAAGTGTTTCTGTCTAACAGGACATATTATGCAGCCACTAAGCAGCTCTTTAGCATTCCTACACATGATGTGGATATTCCATCTCAGGCTGATTATGTAAACTATGAGTTAAAAGAAATGATTCAATGAGCTCTGCAGTGTCTGTCCTTCCTTCTTAATTAACTGTCCACAGCTGCAGATGCTCCGTCTGAGCTGCGTGCCTCCATGGCCTCAGAGCCTGGCTACAGATCTACCTCTGTTTACAACCGTTACCAGGGCAACCTGTGATGCTTGAACAACACATGCGTCATCAACAGACCGCAGCATCAACAAGTTCAGCAAAACTGAAACTACATGTGCACACAACTGCTGCTGGTCTCTAAATAAACACGAGCCCCTCTCTGCCCTGCGCAGACCGCCATCGCACGCCATCAGCCCGGCGCTCCAATGTTCGCCAGCCGCTCTAACGGACAGATGCGCTAAATGAACTCCTCTGGGTTTTCCTGCAGAGGTTGTTCAGACTTGAGTCGTTGCAGCCTCCGCTGAGCGATGAGCTGCGGTTACAACCAGCCTGGGCTGTTATGTAATTCAAAATGCATCATCATGAGGAAGTTCTTAATGGGTCACAGGAAAAAACAAGGCCGATTGACTTCACTACATGTGGTAGTTTTTAAAGCTATCTTGATGGTATTTAAAGCGACAACACCAACACCTTAGTGGGAGTAAAATAATAAACAGTTTTCAGACCTTTTTCTGAATAAAGGCCATCAGGCAAATGCACAAAATCAGAATTTTATCAAAAATAAACCATCATACAAGCAGTTTTATTTAAAACACACGTATATAAACTACTCTCCATGCATATTTTAAACGTACTATCATGCAGATTTAATACCATAAGGCTTCTGTATGTGACAACCAGGAGTTCATGCTCCTTCTCTTGCTCTTTATGTGCCCAAGGACTCGCTTGGAACATTTTTCCGGAACCATTCAGTACCGTTTTCTTTCTGAATGTGGCTAATAATGTTAGCATAGCATCTTTTAAACTACTAGCCGTTTTCTTCAAGAGTTAAAATATATTTTAATGTTTAAATAACAATAAAAACTTTAACTCAGTCATAAATGTTTTTTGGTGCTCTGAAATTATTAGTGTTAAATTTGGAATTTCATGTGAGCTAAGCTAACGTTAGCTTCATGTCCATATTGAGGAAAGTGTGACTTGAATGATCTCTGGTTTATAGCTGAAAACAGACATTTACATTTACAGTTTGCACCTACTGTTAGCCATTTTTGATTTCAGCATTGTGTTTATAAATAATTTATTGATGACTGTTAGATGAAAGGTCAGAATTCAACTCTTAAAGAAATTAGCTACTAGCCTAAAGATACTTTGCTAACCCTAGTAGGAAGAAAACAGTTTTGTCTAAGAGTTTTCTGGAAAAGTAGACAATCACAGGTTGTTTACTTTTTCAGATTGGTTTCACCTTTACTATGACAAAAGTTGACATTAGCCACAGAAAGAGATCAACACGCATTTAGGTGATAATCTACACGTGCGGGGGATTCATTTTAATCAGCACATTTTTAGTCTGGGGATTACACTGAAATTGGATGAATAATTGGAATCTACTAAAGTCCAGGAAGCATTGTGACGTCAATGCTAATATTGCTATTGGTGTTAGCAATGTTTTTAAGCCCTATCCTTAGACCTTACAGGGCATTACATCATGGTTGGGTCTTATTTAACAGCTGGGTTGAGGTTTGACGCAACGAGAAGCGCGACAGTTCAGTCTAAAGAACATGGCGGCTTCAGCCGATGAAACTAGCATTAGCGTGGCTATCGAGCAAGTTTTATCGGAATTACAGAGTATTTCTTCACTGAAAGAAGAGTAAAACACTGCTCTGGAGGCTTTTCTCAGAGGAAAAGATGTTTTTGCTCTTCTCCTGACTGGTTTTGGCAAGAGTTTGATCTATCAATTGGCTCCTCTTTGTCGTCGCTCTGTTAGTACGTCATATGCTTCGTTGATCTGATTGGTTTATTTGGCCCGTCTATCACCAACATAGGCCAATCAGCTAACCAGTATTTTCGCCCCTTCCCAAAATTACTTCAACGGAAGGTTTCCAGATGGAAATGCGGAGCAAATCCATCTGGTGGAGTTAGGTTAGTTGGCATATAGTGTGACTGTGCACCTTTCAACATTCAGTAGCAGGGTGATATGATTTTTACTTCCTTTAGTGGGTTTTAAAGGGCTAATTAACAAGAGGTTAATTGATTCAAACAGTACTAAAGCTTTTTTTCCCCAGACATGTCTGCGGTGTTCATTGGCCTTCACAGAGCAGCTGTGTTTATACAGAGAGCAGATAAAAAACAAATACTGATTAGGTGGCAGGCAGTTGAAACTAACTCTATTTATTGATATCAGGGTAAAACGGGGCTGAATGAAACTTTTCTGACTTCTGGAAGTAGCTTGAAGTTCAAATAATAAACCAGGTGGAATGTTGCTACTTTTATGAGGTGCTTCACAGCCCTGATGTACAAATAGAAATCATTGGATTTTTGTGAGACCAACAGAGTTAAGAAAAAAGAAAAAATGAAAAACCGGAGGGAAAATTGGTATTTTCGCCAGGCCTGTGTCAATCCCCGCTGCTTGTTCAAACACACACACTTCCAAAAGTTTATTCTTCCACTCAACTTTCCACACACTCATAGATACAGCACTCTGTAACATAATCATATGATTGGAAAAAGTGAAATCCAACCAGACAGGGAGGAAATTTCCAACCCCCAAAATTTTCCGTTGCCTCGCCACTTCTTCACACGGTTTAGATCTGAAGCATGTCTGGTATGTGAACCACATGATAACTGGGTTTTTATTGCAATGTTCAAATATCAACATATAGTGCATCTCGGCCTTCATACCTTTAAGTATTGGATGTCTTTGACAGAAGTCAACTCCGGTAGTCCAGCAGTCAGCATGAGGGCAAACAGGGTGATGAAGAGGTTGCCGTTCTTCCTCAAGACAAGATAAGCATCCTCGCAGTACTGACGGAAACTAGAAGGGGAAAATATCAGCTCAGTTGCTTTTCATGTAATCTTGACCTTATGCAAAAAGGAAATGATTAAATGCAAACCGACAGAAATAAGACTTTTGATGTTTTGTGAACTGAATGAAAAATACAGCTTATAGTAGAGTGGCTCAGGTCATCCTGAGCTATCTCTATAGTTCTACTGCTATAGGCTTAGACTGCTGGAGGACATAGGGACCCCTTTTTCATCATTCTGCTTCATTCTATCTCTATTCTCCCACTCTGCAGAATCTGTTAGTTCAATCTCTAACGTTCTGCTCTCTCTGCTTTTTCTCATAGTAGCTTCATCTAGTCTGTTCCTGTTTGGCTGTGACTCCATCCTGGAGAGAAATATCAGCTGTGCTGCTGCCATCAACACCTTTGTTTCTAGATGTTGGAAATCAGCCTGTTTTTCAGTGTAGCCCTGTTTCTCTCACTGGGATTGGTTGGATGTGCTCTCTTTATTCTCTGACAGCTGGCTCGGAGCTCATCTATCTGGCTGTGTGTTTCCTGGCTGGCCGCCTTTAACAGTCACCTTTTTTTTTATCTCTGCTTCTGTCTCCTTGAACCCCAGTCGGCCTCGGCAGATGGCCGCTCACACTGACCTGCTTCTGCTGGAGGTTTCTTCCTGTTCAAAGGGAGTTTTTCCTCTCCACTGTCGCTACAAGCATGCTTAGTGTTTTCCTTAGATAGAAAACTTTGAATCAATCTGCCTGGATTATCTGGTTGAACTGTAAAGTGCCGTGAGAGGACATGTTGTGAATTAGTGCCATAGAAATAAACTGAATTGAACTGAATGTTTATAATAGAATAACTGAAATCTATAAAATACATTTCTTTTAGAAAAAAAACTCCCTAAAAAAGGCTCTTATTGGTTTGACCTAAAGTAGATGGTTTGGTGGCTCTGTGATCTTCCTGGAAGTTTTGCTTTGACTTTTGCTATCTGTGGAAACATAACTGAACTAAATGCACAAGACCACAAACTGTTCCTACCGTTATGTTTTGTCTAAGACCCAGAAAGCTACGGCCCTGCACTGCAAAAACTGATCTAAAAAGAAGCAAAAATGTCTTAAAATGAGCAGATTTGACCTTAATATGAGCGGGAAAATAAGATGATCTCCCAATGGAAAGACTATTTCTGCTTCTAAATAAGATAAACAGATATTATACAATGAAATCAAAATAATAGAGTTTGTGTTTTTTTTTCTTATTTTTGATCTAAACAATCTTCCTCAGGCAAACTTTTTTGCTTAACTTCCCAAATTAAGGGGAAATGCAATAATTTCAAACAAAATGGACTTGAATATACTTATTTTTTTTGCAGTGTAATTGAAAACATCCTTCAAACAAAAACAAACCGAATCTTTGCTGCTGATCATTGCCTCTTGATCACGTATGAACTTCCATCGTACATATTGTTCAACTACTTGTACCCACAGAAAACCACAGATGCCACGGTAACCTCCCACACTGTATTTAGCAGTTTTAGAAAAACAGTTTCAGAGACGGCAGCCCCGCTAAAAACCAATGGGATGATCTGGCTTCGAGGTCATCGGTCCTCTGTGTTTTCTATCAGCCCCTGCAGTAGCACAGCTATGACTGCAGGTGTGGATCTGGGCCACAGCAACAAGGATAATTGAGCTGTGGGGTAATTCCCGCCTCTGACTTGACCCATAACCGCTTTAAACTTGCCACTCTGTACGTGCCTGCTTGGCAGCGTTGCTTTATGCACAAACTGCACGCTGCATAAATGTAAACCTAAGTGCGTCAACAACAGAGATAAACAGTGCTGAGGTTTTCCTGCTGTCCTCACAGCACTAATTTAAAGCTCTTCTACAATCTGAAATCTTTGTACCAGCAATAATTAGATTTTTACAAACTTTCTTAAACTCACTGCAGAAAAAGTTCAGGCTTTTGTAGTCTTTATCTTCAGGCATTGGCTGCTTGTTTTAGTCACCAACCTGTGCTACAGTCCAGTCAGGTTCCCTTTGTCAGAACATAAAAATCTGAGCAGGTTGTTCCTCCAAAATTGCCCATTTTTAAGTTTGAGTTGAGAATCTTTACAGCCACCTGCTGGTGGAAGGCAGCACTGCAACAACAAACCAAGCTCTTTTAAAACGCTGTTGATGGGATCAAACAAAATGGGCTTTTATGTTTGATCTCTACTTCCAAACTCAGCATCTCTTCCTCCATGCCTGCGATAAGAAGTTTCTTTTGACTGGATTTGATTAAACTTTTAAGCCTCTCGGTATAAAATAAATATTTGGATGGAGATGAGTAATCTGCTTCCTGGTCTGTTGAAGTACCAATAGTTTGCATCCAATAATTTAAATAAACGGGCTTAGTTTTTGGGGGATGTATAAGAATTATGCTCTAATTTGTAGTTACCGATCTGTCGTTACTTTGTTTTAATTTGACAAACTGGATTTTCTCAACGTTCTTTTTTCTGTTTGGTGCAATTGCAATTGCGGATCTTGACCTGGCCGGACCGGAGAGGGAGCAAAAAAATAGGTCGGCTCCGTATTTTGCGGGTGAACGTGGACGGTAACCTGCGGAGGAGTAACGGTGGATGTTGAACCAGGGTTCCTACAGCATAAGGAAAGTTAAATTCAAGACTTTTTAAGGCCACCTGAAATAAAAATTTAAGACCAAATTCACAAGAAACACAAGAAAAACCCGCTTGCGACAACTTAACCCAAAGGTTTATTTTAACATAAACCACTGCACTAATGTTTCAAATTTTGAAAAGCTTCCCATACAGGAAGAAAGCTAAAAACACACAAATGACAGATATATTTGAACAATTATTTAACTGAATTCACAAACTTTGTTTTAGCAGGGAACAAAACAAATCAGTTTTTAAGCCACAACATAACCAGTGCTAAGTCTTTTTTGTAGCTATTTTTCTTTGTATGGTTTTCTTAGTATGTTTGATTTGGTGATAAGTGGAGGCGTTGCAGAGACAAGGGTGGAACAAAACTGAGAAATACCGGCTGTTTCTCCGTAACTCCATTTTGACGTCTTGTATTTCGTGCTTCGCATTTGCGACTCCACTGCCTTAATTCCCATCATTCCGAGCTTGAATCGCTTCTTGCACTAAATCCACTGAGCCTCATGTATGTTCCCTGGTTTTAGCCGTGGAGAAAACTCTTGGCTGGAGACAATTTTTGTTACATTTACACTTGCTCATATTTTCCAAACAAAAAGTTAATGGCGCATCCCCCAAATGTCCCGGCAGCAACAACGCTTTTGTTGGTTCCGCTATCGGGACGGAGCCAATAATGGCGAGCCGTTATTTAAAAAAATAAAAATAAAAAATTGTCAATTTTAATGTTTTATTTAGATTACAAAAATAAATCGTATTAAAAATAATCCTATTTATGATGTTTTAAAAATTAAGACCTACGAAAGACTGATTTAAGACATTTTAATACCAATTAAGACCTTAGTTCTATTTTGAATAATTCAATGCCTTTTAAGACTTTTTAAAGATCCGCGGGAACCCTGTGAACAGATATCATTGTTTAACATGACAGACAAGTACTTCGCACGACGTAGGTCATAGTCATTCCAAAGAAGTTAAAAAACAATCCACTGGACTTTGTTTCCAAATTTCTTCTTCGCTGATATTGGAGTCTTTGCAGTTTTTGTTATAGTTTAGTTTAGTTTAACTATACTAAAAAAAAAAAAAAAAAAAAAAAAAGGGAAAACAGAACAGGCATAATATAAATTTCACTAAATTCACAGCATAGTTCAGTGTTTAAATAGGATCCTTTAAAGTAAAGAAAAAGGTTTCCTTAGATTAATTTAACCTTTAGTTATTGCAAATTGAATGGCCTTAAAAACATGAAATATTTTTCAGAAATATTGTTTTTCTATGTTCTAAATTGACGGCATCTGCAGCGCATGCAGCAAACCTTTAGCTAAACAATAATATCACTCTGCTGCAGCCACAAAAAAAAACAAGTTTAACTGCTTCCTGAAAGTCTCACAAATCAAAAGTGTGACAAGCATCTAAATTTAACCACCAGATAGAATTGGGTGCCTTGCAAAGCCGCTTGATTTGTTTAACCGGTCCTTCTTTTTGTAGATTTATCTCTAATATTACAGCAGATGTTGTTTATACAAGCCTCTCTGTGGCTGGAATGTGGAAAAGTCGCATTTGGATGAATACTTATGTCAGTAGTTCTGTGCCAGTGTTCAGACTGGTCTAACTGGACAAAGAACTGGTTCTAAGCTTCCTTACGGCGTGAATCCATTTTTATTATGTCCGTTAGCTGCATCAGGGGTCTAAATCCGTAACACTAATGGAAGCTACAGCTAACAGCGCTTTAAATGATCCTGCGATGTTGCTTCAGTTTCATCTAGAAGTAGAAGAAGAAACAAACCTGCCAAATTTCTCCGTGTTCCCCGTCTTGCCCTGCTGAATGACGTGGATGAAGTCGTGCGTGAGGATGAAGGGAACGCGTTCCCTTTTGATGCCGAACTTGGACTTGAAGTTGCCGAGGATGTGACCGAAGTCTATATGGAAGAGCTGATGGAAAGCAGGGGGAACAGTGAGGCGGAGCTTAAATAGAGGCTGGATGCTGATGTTCCGTCAGACCAGCATACCTATAGTCGATATGCATGTGCAAATATTCAGATTTACGTTTATTCCCTTAGTTTTGCACGAAAAATAGACTTTAAACTACCTAAACGGACATGTATCCCTTTAGTCATGTACAAAAAAAACTATTTAAAGTCAGATCGCTACACGCATTAAAAACAAAAATTATAATTAAATAGTTTTTTGTACTGCCAGTCTGACCTTAATTCAGTTTAAGGTTACACAGGATACACTACTCCAAAGCTTAACTTTTCAATACAAGTGATAGTTGTGATAGATGCTCTCCGTCACCAGACAATCATACACACGTTCTTTTCCTGTCCCAGATTAAAGGAATAGTACACCCAAAACATGATTAGCCTTCATTTTCTACTCACCCCCATGCTGAACAACACTCTGGAGTACTTTTTTGATATCTCAAATGCATCTGGAGATCTGGGAGGCTTCTTGCTGTCTGCTGACATTCAAATAATGGAGGTCTATGGCGCCCGAGGCAGAAAGGTCCATAAAAGTCCACAAAAAACGTGTCAATATTCCTCCATACTGCTCGTCCAATGTATTCCAAGTGTCCTGAGTGGGTAGCGTCCAGTATTTACTCGAAACAAAATCATTTAGAATGTTTTTAGAGCATAAACAGTAGTGTATAGGACTTCCTGAAAGCGCGCGCCTGCGAGTTCACGACTCTACGGAAACCGCGGCAGACCAAACCAGATGAAAGTCCGCATTCAGCGTCTGCTCTGCCGATAATCCAAGCGTTGTGAACGCGCTTTCAGGAAATCCTATACACTACTGTTTATGCTCTAAAAACATTCTAAATGACTTCGTTTCGAGTAAATTATGGACGCTACCCACTCAGGACACTTGGAATACATTGGACGAGCAGTATGGAGGAATATTGACACGTTTTTTGTGGACTTTTATGGACCTTTCTGCCTCGGGCACCATAGACCTCCATTATTTGAATGTCAGCAGACAGCAAGAAGCCTCCCAGATCTCCAGATGCATTTGAGATATCAAAAAAGTACTCCAGAGTGTTGTTCAGCATGGGGGTGAGTAGAAAATGAAGGCTAATCATGTTTTGGGTGTACTATTCCTTTAAGCTCATTCTGGTCCTATTTCTACAATACTTTCACAAAAGCTCAAAACAAACCAGTGCTTCAGAGTCCTCTGACCTCCATCTTTGGTGTGCTTGAGGATTTCACACACTTCACGAACAGGGAAAGTAACGCTATTGCTTTCGCATCTCTGGTAGCCCAAAGACACGTATTACTTCAATGGAAGGATAAGAATCCTCCCTATCCTGACTCTTGGCTGTAGGATCTAATGTCACTCCTACACTTAGAAAAAATTAGGTACAGCATTAGGGGATGTGTCGACAAATTTGATAAAACTTGGAGTCCTATTCTTTCCTTGGTTGACTCAAATTCCTAACCTGACAACAGCCAGATGCATGTCTCGCTCCGCCTAGCTCCACTCACATACATCTGGGAACCCGCCATAGGAATTGCCTTTACTGAAGGCTGGGCCTTATCAAAACTCCTTGCATATGATTGGATAAGCCACTTGTCTGTCATCTTTATCGACGTGCTATTTCAACCACTAACACCGAAGCTAACCCGTGACGCTGAGAGCTACGCAGGAAAAAAAACAAAACAGAACAGCCGACATCTTGGATATAGCAACAGTGGAATCAGCGCAATGTCGGTAAATGATCAATGTTGTTTGTGCCATGAAAATGTGCGGATAAAAAGCAACATTGTGCACAGCAGACTTATTTTAAAAAAAGAAGCCAACCAAAAAAGTATAGACGAACGACTTACAGAACTCGCTTCTCCACTACGTCACATGCAGGACACACCCGCCCTGCGTCCTGATTGGCCAGACCATAAATTCGGTTGGGGAAATCACTTTCAATGAGCGGTGTCCCAGATGTATGTGAGAGGAGCTAGGCGGAGCGAGACATGCATCTGGCTGTTGTCAGGTTATCAAATTCCTCCTTAGACGATTAAAAAGTATGGCTTTAATCAAGATAGATGTACTTATATAGCGCCTTTATTCAAGTTAGGAGACTTGACCAGAGCGCTTTACACTACATTCATTCACCCATTCACGCACACACTGATGGTGGCAAGCTACATTGTAGCCACAGCTGCCCTGGGGCGCACTGACAGAAGCGGGGCTGCCGTACACTGGCGCCACCGGGCCCTCTGACCACCATCAGTAGACAATGCAGGTGAAGTGTCTTGCCCAAGGACACAACGACAATGAAAGTTGGAGTCGGGGCTTGAACCGTCAACCCTTCGATTTCAGGGCAAACTCCTACATCCAACGCCACTGTCGCCCCACCTAGATGAACATAACCCCTCTCTAATCAAATCACTCCTAATTTTCCAGTGGTTTGAACTGTTGGAACAACAGCCAGGATTTTAAGAGAGGCCAGTGGTTGGGTTAGGGATTTGGTGGTCGAACCTTAAGCACAACATGCAATAGACGATATAGTTATATTTTTGATTCGGTTTTCTAAGCATGTTAGATCCCTCCTCTAAATTCTGTTTGTTTATTAACATTTTTTTCACTTTTTTTTTTCTTTTTTTTTTGTAATTTGCTTGTTGGTAACTGTTCTCCTCACGTTTGCTTATTGTTAACATCTCTCACTGTATTCCTAGGAAAGTAGGAAAGTGGAGGATAAGTGAAATGTATTCTCATGTTAATTAATGTATTGTACCCTGCTAACCCAATAAAAAATATATATGGGAAAAAAAAAAGTTTTTTGTACATGAAAGGGATACATGCCTATTGAGGTAGTTTAAAGTCTATTTTTCATACAAAAACAAAGGGATAAACAGGTATTGATCACGGGCATGCTGCTCATCTGACAGAAGACCGGACGCATGTCTGGTTTGTCTGACCTGTCCTGTGCTGCGGACCATGATGTTGTCGCTGTGGCGGTCTCCGATCCCCAGGACGTAGGTGGCTACACAGTATCCGGCGCACGACAGGGTGAACTCCTCGATGGCTCGATCGAGAGCGTCGCTGTGAGCGAAGGGCACAAACTGACGTTAAAACGTTTGTTCCGGAAGCTCCCAGCAGGCTGACCCCCCCCCACCTTCTTACCCAGTGTTCCTCTCTTTGAGCCAGTTCAGCAGAGCGTCCTTGTTGAACGCCGCAGCTGCTGCCACGTTGCTGCTGGTCAACTGGATGTTTGCGATGGTGTCTGCTGAGGAGACCACTTCAATCAGGCCTGCTCTGTCACCTGTTGCTAGGCAACCATAAGGCACAATCCTGTAGAACAAAACAGAGAAAAGATTTAACCTTTGTGTTATTTGTAAATCTACTGGTCTATTCTAAGAGAAGCAGTTCTCTGTTAGACACATTCTGATGCTTCTTGGGTTTAAAAACAAAGAAAATATTTTGTTAAGATCTAAGGGTAACTTTGGATACATATTTATGTATATATGTACATAAACGTTAAAATTAAATACATCAATTATCAGATTCAGTTTTTTTTTTCTCCAAAAATAGTAAAACTTAGTTTAAAATGTTTGAAATATTTATGATATTGTTGCAAAGAACATATTCTGTAAATCTGAATTTGAAAAAAAAAAAGCAATCAGAAATGAAACTTTAAAAACTAGTTTTGAAATTAATTTTGCTTTCTTTTCAGATTTGTTTTTTCAAAATATATATATATATATATTTTTTTCAAAAATAAATTTTTTACACTCTTCATGGCAGCAGAGCTTCCACTTCACAGGCAGAGACTTTTTAGAGAGAGAAAGCCTCACCTGAGGTCCAGACTGGCCTCCTTCCACAGAAGATCCATCAGCCTCAGAATTTGGAGGGTCAACATGTCCTGCCTCAAGTCTGAGAAAGGAAAATGAAAATGGAAATTAGCTGTTTCATGGTGTGGTGTGGAGGCTGCAGCGCCTCAGACTGGAAGAAGGTGAGAACAGCAGAGAGGATCATGGGGGCTCCTCTTCCCTCCATTAAAGACATTTCATCCCAGCGCTGCGTGTCCCGACCCCGTAATGTCAATGACCCCCCCCCCACCCCCCCCCCCCACCATGGACCGTTCTCCCTGCCGCCCTCTGGAAAGAGGCTTTGAAGCAGATTCTGCAACAGCTTTTCCCCCGCTACAATCAGACTGTTGAAAACTCAGTGTTCAACTCAGTTGCTTTTCATGTCAACTCAGTGTTTTTCAACTGCATTTTACCCCATATATATTTAATTTTTTTTTGCACTGCTCTGAACCGTCCCCACCAATGCCTTTTGCACCATGTTTACATTTGGATCGTTGCTGCACTTTATAAATATGTTAATCTTCACTGCTAAGCTGCTGCTCATTCATTGTCGAAAAGCTGTATGTAACGAAATGTTACATACACTCTGCGTATACAAAATGAAAATAAAGTTTGTCTATTTCTAAGAAGTCGGACAAAAGCGTTAGAAGACAGAAAAAAGAATTTGGTGTTATCTGTTCGGTCTGACGATAACTTTTATCACTTTTATCAGCTTTACCTAATTTAAACTGTTGGAATAATTATGTATAAGATACTTAATGTTTGTTCTTATGATGTATAATGTGTGACATATTACTGTTCCAGAAGGGTGTTGCACTAGCAGTATAGGTCAACTATCAGGAAGTATTGCTCAAGCTTAATGAAACCAGGAGGTTCTCGGACCATTTGACCACAAGACATTTAAATGCAAATTGACCCGTTTACTGAGGCTGCAAATTGAATTGTATTTCTTGTTTCCTATTCCTTTAGCGCAACCTCAGCTTGTGTAACTAGGGACACCCCCTCTGACTTTAATAAATAACGAGGAGAAAGCTGAAGACCGGTGGGGTGGAGATGTACCTGCATGGTCTCTTCCTACTCTCCTCGCAAGTAAATAGAATTCTGACTCTGTGCCTTTCTTTCCTTGTTTTACTGTGTTTTGGGTGTTAGACCTGACATAAACTGTATAATTTCTTCTCTGAGGAGCCTTCTGCTATCCGGCTATTTTTAAAATAAATTATATTAAACACATTTTTAACTGTGTAAATTGCCTTGTTTTAAAGGAAGCCTGAGGCCTTCAGTTACACGTGAGGTTAAAGGTTTCAGCCATGATCCCGTATTGTAGCATCGGCTTTCAGCCGATACGCTCAGCCCGGTTATCGGTATCAGATAACTCTAGTCTAGATGCTCTCATCCTCCCTGTCCAGCTTTGTGGAAGAAAGATATCCCCTACTGCATGATGTAGCCACCACCATGCTTCTCTGTGGGTTAAGCTAAAAAAGTCTACATTCTGCTCAGGTAAACTGCAATTAGGACACATCTTTAAACAAGTGTCACAATTTTAACCTTTAGGACTGAAAGAGCAACTTATTTCAGGTGAATAATATCCTATTATCTTAAGCCCCATTTCCACTACCCTTTAGAAACTGTGCTGAGATCGGTCCAAACACGGAAACAGAGATAGCTGTTGAGTATAAACGGCACGCACAACTGAACCGGACCGCACCAGATGCAACCGAACCACGCTAACATGGTGCTGGTTCATCAAGAGGGCTCGGCGCAGTTCAGTTCTGGCTCGGTTCTTAGATAGAAAAGAGCGTATCAGCAGATTTCGTCATCTCCTTACAGTCAGCCTCCGTAATCATCAAACTTAAGAGTTTCATAAAAATACTAGCTTCCCTACCGTGCCGCATGATTTCCGGTGATGATTCTGCTCAGCAGTGATTTACCTCAACTCCTGTCGTTGTTTCCTGTGTCTGTAAGCCCTGATTAGACTATTGTTTGTCGTTTCCACTTCCCAAAAGCTGATTCTGTCAAGTAAATTCAACCAAAGCTTCTTCGCCTGACTCTCTGCAAACTTCCTAAATGTTATGGGCGCTGCCATGTTGGTTTGCTTGTTTCACTCTAGAGAGCAGAAGTACCGTAGATCGTCACAAGGAGGCGATTAACTGTGCTAGCGCTGTTTGTAAATAGTCGTAAGGAACGAAGCTCAGTATGGATCGGTTTTCAGAGGGTAGTGGAAATGGGGCTTTAGTTTAAGGGAGAAATGCTCTTACCATTGACAGATCATCTTATTAACATGCTCAAATTTCACAAGTATTTATTTCTTTTGAATCAGTTTTAGCAGCGCTACAACAGATTCTTCCAGCTGCTTATTTCTTTAGCTCCTCAGAAGTGGTGGCCTAGTGGTTATAACCTGACTCCGCCAGACGGATTTGCTCCGCATATCCATCTGGAAACCTTCCGTTGAAGTAATTTTGGGAAGGGGCGAAAATACTGGTTAGCTGATTGGCCTATGTTGGTGATAGACGGGCCAAATAAACCAATCAGATCAACGAAGCATATGACGTAACAGAGCGACGATAAAGAGGAGCCAATTGATAGATCAAACTCTTGCCGAAACCAGTCGGGAGAAGAGCAAAAACATCTTTTCCTCTGAGAAAAGCCTCCAGAGCAGTGTTTTGCTCTTCTTTCAGTGAAGAAATACTCTGTAATTCCGATAAAACTTGCTCGATAGCGACGCTAATGCTAGTTTCATCGGCTGAAGCCGCCATGTTCTTTAGACTGAACTGTCGCGCTTCTCGTTGCGTCACTACTTCAACCCGCCTCAAAGCCAACGCTGATTGGACGTTCGTTTGGTAAACGGCTCCAAATTTTCTTTAACGGAGAGTCTCCAGACTGATTAGCGAGTGAAACCTTGACAGCTCGCGAGATCAGGATGGTCTCACGAGGCTATAGTGGTTCTGAGATCCCTGAGCAAGACCCGTAACCCCACACTGCTCCCCGGGCGCCGCACGATGGCTTCCCACTGCTCCCCATGGGGATGGGTTAAATGCAGAGGTAAATTTCTCCAATGTGAGATCAATAAAGTTAAATTATTATTAATATTATTATAACCTCTTGGCTTCTTCTCTCTGTAGGCAGCTGGAATTTATTTGGTGTCGTTAAAGTAATGAGGAAGAAGACTAATGCATTCTTTACATAGATTCTTTAAACCACCAATGTTTGTCAGTCTGTGAATTAAAATGTCTTTGGAAGAATCTCCTTGGAATAAAAGGATGAAGGACGACCGTGTGATTCCTACCGTCTCCATTTTTAAAGATGATCCCCAAAGTATCCCCGTTAAGCAGCTTGTTGTTGTAAACGATCCACAGAGGCTTCATTTTGGAGTCCATATAGCGGCACTTCTCCACACTAACGGAGAAAAGAAAGAGAGTTACCTGAAGCTTGGACCAGTTTGCTCCCAGTTCGGGGGAAGAGGGGCTGCGTTTAACTTACTTGATGTCAGACAGCAGCACACTGGGGTCGAGAGGGGAGTTCAGGTCCGACAGAGCCTCTGAATAGCCGCTCTGTCTCAAACAGGTCATCATGGCCTCCTTGGTCAGCATCGCCTCCTTCGTTTTGCTGCGGGCGTTCTTGATGGTGCCCAGTTTGATGAGCTCATTAACAGATTTCAGTTTACTGAGGGCTTCAACCTGGCAACACAGGAATAAACAACATCAGGCCGATGAAGCCGTTCTACTACTAGCAGCTGCCCGACTTTTCCATAAGGAGGGACGGATAATAAATTACTAAAAAAGTTTAAAAAAAAAAAAACAATCCACTGGACTTTGTTTCCGAGTTTGAAGACGTTTCGCTTCCCATCCAGGAAGCTTTTTCTAGATGGGAAGCGAAACGTCTTCAAAGTTGGAAACAAAGTCCAGTGGATTGTTTAACTTTTTGAATAATGACTGTGACCGGTACAGATAATAAAGGCCAGAAATTTTCCACTGACAAGGTTAAAAAAAACAGAGCAAGAGCAAAAATATCTACTATTCTGACAGACATTAATCATTTGAAAAGAAACCCAAACTTTTTTTATTTATTAATCTCCAAATTGTAGATTAAAAGTTGGATAAACAAGAAAGAATTAATCTTGCCTGTTTCTTTAAAACCTCAATATGAGGGATGCTTCCTCTACAATACGCCTCCAGGATGAGGGAGAACTGGACCGACACGGCTGGCATGTGGATCTCTGACCTTTAGGGGGCAGCAGACATGCAGCAGGAACGATTCAGAAAGTTTTCTAATGACCGATCAAAGCTGCAGACCTTAATTCACTCACCTCAGATGCCAGAAGAGGAAGTGGCCAATTTTACGGTTGCTTTGCGCACGATCCAGCAAGAAGTGGGTGAGGGCACAGTCGTAATACGGCTCATAGCGCAGCACCTGCACCAACTGCAGCAGGTACTGGGACAGTTCCTCATCGCTGGTGGCAGGAGAGATAAAACAGAACAACAACAACAGGCAAAGTAGTTAGTGGCTGTCACAATTACCCAGAGCGGTTTTCCCTCTAAGAAGTCAAAGCGGTGGAGTCTAGTATGACTTTGCAAAAATGTAAAAAAAAGAAAAACAATCTATAGGAGCTATTTTTCAGTTAAATCATAAAATGTAGATAATTTAGTTTGATTTGTTATGTAGAATAGGTTTTTAGTTAGTGATTCACTTAATTAATTTTAGCTTGGGATGTGGGTGTTTCGCAGTATAAATAGGTAGGTTTTAGGTAGCTCATTATGGACATGGGTGGACATATGGTTATATTACCTGTCCCAGTCCGCCAGTTTTGTCATCAGTCGTTAGTCTGCCAGTCAGTAAATCAAAGAACAGGTGCAGGAATAAGAGTAAAGGCTGATTTATACTGAGCAACCAGGTCGTCTGCATGTGTGTTGCAGTTAACGCAGATATGCCCCGCCCCTTTCGCAGACACTCTGCTGCACCTTTTACAAAATTATAGGTGACCGCAGACGGTTTCGCAGACAGGAGGCATCTGATTGGTAAAATCTACATCCTCTCAATACTATGCATATTTCCTGTTTGGTTCCTTACCGGCTTGTTTTGTTTATATGACCGCCGTTGTGGAAAACGACTCGTGAAGATGGACCAGCTAGAAGAGGGAGGTGCGCAAGAACGCTGGGACCCTTTTTCCACCTGGATCCTCGTTCTTTTCGCCCTCATGTCCCTCCGTTGTCGCACAAACTTGCCACCACTTCCTCACCGCCTCAGCCTTATCTAGATTAGGGGTGGAACGGTTCACAAAATCCAAGGTTCGGTTCGGTTCACTGTTTCGTGGTCACGGTTTTCGGTTCGGTACATGTTGATTGTTAGCCTGACATGTTTGTCTTCTTCTTGTTTACCACTGGTGGTTGGCTTTGGTCGCAGTACCGCCACCTTCTGCTCTGGAGTGTAAACGCTTCGCCTATGAGAAAAAGGAGCAGCGCATGAACCGAACGCAACACACGCGAACCGAACCGAGACAGTCGGACCGAACAGTTCGGACGGTTTTCATAAACCATTCCATCCCTAATCTAGACCCACAGCTAGTTCCTGATTGTCCTCCTTGCGTTGTGGCATGGAATAACATAGCGCAGACCACGCTTCAATATTGGGCATGAATCGAAATACCTGCGACCAGTTCACTGCGACAACACAGCTGCGGGACGATAACCAGTCCTTAAGAGCAGTAGCAGAATCCTGTGAAGCCTGTAACCTGTTTTGTCTGAACGGAGAATAAAACAAAGAACTGGATTTTGACCCTTTTATGATCTTTTGACTGCGTAAGTCAGAATCCATGGTGCATCTATTTGAGTTAAATTCACCTTTTGCTTTGATCACCTTTCATTCTTACATTTTTTTTGTTGGAAGACGTTTCGCTTCCAATCCAGGAAGCTTTTTAAATTCAAAATGTCAGAATTAGCGTTGAGTTTCTCTATACAGTAGCCCAACAAAGACTTGTTTTGCCTAGACAACACGCAAATTGAAACGGATAAACGGGTCCACCCCTTTGGAATGGGGGTTTGTTAGCCTGCGATGCCCCATACCTGTCTATGTCTCTAAAAGGGGGGTCGTTAAAGGGAATTGTTGGCCTGGCTGAATAGGCGAGGTCTTCTGTTCCCCTTTAAAGGGGTCGGGGTTACAATGATAGCAGGAAGGGATCAACTAAATTGCTGCATTGTAGGTTTTAAAACAAAAAAAATTACAATGCAACAATTGAGGCTTTGTTGGGCTACTGTATAAAACCTCAAACTCAGTGCTATTTCTAACATTTGAATTGAAAAAGCTTCCTGGATGGGAAGCGAAACGTCTTCAAACTTGGAAACAAAGTCCAGTGGATTGTTTTTTAACCTTTTTGGAATGACTATGACCTGGATGACTGGGCATCTTCACCTGTATATTGAACTCCATTTTGGGAAAGATCCCCTGAATGACATAGATCTAGGAAAATAGATCTAAAGAAATATTTCCCCCAATGTCAGTATTTGTGACAAAATACGGTAAATTTTTAACATGAAACCGGAGAACTTGAAGCGGCAGGAGTATTTTAGACAGGCAGTGATTTACCTCATATCCTGCAGGCAGCGCACGGCGTACTCTCTGACGTACTGATCAGGATAGTTAAAGTCCAGAAGCTCCAGAGCATCTCTGGGACTCAATCTGGGCCAAATTTGAAGCAATGCCTGGAGCTGAGACACACACAAACCCAGATGTTAAAAACTAGAGATGTTCTGGTCCTTGGCTGGCTGAGGATTAAACGCTCAGTGAAACAGTCAGAGGGGGTGATATAAAACAATCTTATTTCAGTTTACAGTAAGATGGCTTTTATAAAGTTCATAATCATGAAAATAACATTAAGGAAACTTTTTACAGCCTTAAGTACAGAAAGGGGAGTCATTAAATTAGCGTCCCCATAGAAGACGTTCACGCTTAGTGGGGAAACATCATCAAAATAAAAGAACACAAGCAAAAAAATAAAAATAAAAAAATATAATAAAGTATATTTCAAATAGCTTAAACCATTTGCTCCTAAACTTTTCTTGTTGCTCCCCAATTCAGTTCACAAGAATCCAATTAGAATGAATGGTTCATTTAATTGGCTAACCTGAGCCATGTCCTCGTGTTTGCTCCACTTAACAGAGAGCAGCAGCTTTGGTAGAGACTGGGGGAAGTTCTCATAGCAGTCATGGCGTAGTGTCCAAATCAAATCCTTCTCGTTTTCACACAGCTGAGAAAGCGGGTCCCGCTCCATGATCTCCTTCAGTTCGATGTGGAACTTCTTACCGCCGCGTCCCTGAGAGCGTCATGGGAGCAGAAGTCAGCAAAGATGGAGAACGTTTCAATTTAGAGGAAATTAAGAGATAAACATCAGTTGTTTCCAGATATACAGAGCTAGAATGAAGAAATACATATTTAGATCATTTCTTTAAAGCACTCTGTTTTATTTTACGACCAAATAGACACTTATGGGGGGAACTTTGTCCCATTATTTTTGTAAGCAAAGAAGATGTTATGAAAATTAAAAATTTGAAAAGAAAAATGCAAACCGGAAATGAAGTTTTGAAAAACCTGGACGAAAAAGGTTTTGAAAATAAATTTTCTAAATTTGTTTTTTTTCTTTCCTAAATTATAAAAAATATCATATCTGTATATATATCTTTTTAACAGATTGTACTGTTAGACCTTTTTTTAGATATAGTTTTATTAATAATATTAAATTTTAATAATTAATAATATTGTCACTAACATTCAGGCAGACCAATAGAAATGCATCTTTGCTCGTCACTCCAGAGGAAAGAGAATGCGATTTGAAAAATGCAATTTAAGAATAAATATATTCATAAAACTTTATTACAAAAAAAAAAAAAAAAGATTTAGAAACAAAAATAAATCTGAGTAAACAATTTTATTCTCAAAACCTTTTTTTTTATTAAAAAGTTTTATAGAATTTTCATTTCTGGATCAGATTTTTTTTGGTAATTTCCATTTACAAAACAAGTCCTTTGCTTGCAGTAATTAGCAAAAAAATAAATTTGAATCCAGATGCCTCAGATTTACTGCCTTTATTGATAATAAAAAAATAAAAATTAAAAAAGAGCATGAGAGGAACAGTTACAGTGAAGAACCACAAGATGGCAGCAGAGTACCAAAACTTCTGTTAAAGTCTTACTAAAAAAAGAGCCCTTAAAAGGAGGACTAACCCCATGAATAAATAAGACTAAACCTTATGGATTTAATCTAAAAGGTGTATAAATCTAAATATTTGTCCTGAAACGGCTTCAAACTGTAGCCAGTTTCTCACACGTTAGACTGAGAGTCTTTGTGCAGACATGCCCTCTGTGAGGCACTGATTACGTAACCTGCTGAAACACACCCAGCAGTAGGTTCCTGGCTGAGGGGCGTCGAAACAGGAAGACAGACAAGTAATTTGATTAGTTGTTCTAGTTTTTTTTTTTTCTTTTATAAAGTTGGGTGGGTTGTTTTAAGGGGCGTGAATAGTTTTTTTACTAAAAGGCCCTATCAAGTGATTACAATAGATTTCCAAGGAAACCAGAGTATGGGTGCCTGTTTGACATGTTTGCTCAGAGCTGTGTCTGTGTGTAGGAAGAGGCTGTGAGAAATTTCTCAGCATGTAATTTAACTTTAATTCAAAGTGGGATGTGTTGTGAATTAATGAAGGCACGCTCTCATTAGGCCGATACTCACTATGGATATGCAGTCGCTGGCTCTGGCAATCTGTGCGGCCTTTTCCAGGATCTGAAAGGAAAACGAGAGAGCTGAATGAGCGAGCCGTGCACTGAGAGAGCACTTCCAGAAAGCCTGCATTAGACAAGTGGAGCACATCCTGATCGCCTCACGCTAATTGCCACAGATTCACCAGAAACAGCAGCTACCCTTCCATAAAGCACCACCGTGATTGCAGGAGTAGCGTCTCTGAAGAAGGCTTGTGGAAATAATTACGTTTTGATAAGAGATGCACCGATACATCAGCCGGCTGATATGCCAGGCCAATTCCTTGCATCGGCATTGGTTTATACAGGCATACATCACTGATCTCTACTCATTTACTGGATTACTAATTGCCCGTTGGTAGGACGGGGTTGAGGTGAAGCCACTGGCCGCCATATTGGTACTCCCTAGTTACACATATACACATATATAGATACAAGCATATATAGATATATATATAGATACATGCATATATGGATACAAATATAGATACATATATAGATACATGCATATATGGATACAAATATAGATATATATATAGATACATGCATATATGGATACAAATATAGATATATATATAGATACATGCATATATGGATACAAATATAGATACGTATATAGACACAAGCATATATAGATACATGCATATATAGATACATATATAGATGCATATATAGATACAAATATAGATACATGCATATATAGATACATATATAGATGCATATATAGATACAAATATAGATACATGCATATATAGACACATGCATATATAGATACATGCATATATAGATACTTATATAGATACATGCATATATAGACACATGCATATATAGATACAAATATAGATACATATATAGACACAAGCATATATAGATACATATATAGATACATGCATATATAGATACATATATAGATACATGCATATATAGATACATATATAGATACATGCATATATAGATACATGCATATATAGATACATGCATATATAGATACATGCATATATAGATACATATATAGATACATATATAGACACAAGCATATATAGATACATATATAGATACATGCATATATAGATACATATATAGATACATGCATATATAGATACATATATAGATACATGCATATATAGATACATGCATATATAGATACATATATAGATACATGCATATATAGATACTTATATAGATACATGCATATATAGATACATGCATATATAGATACATATATAGATACATGCATATATAGATACTTATATAGATACATGCATATATAGATACTTATATAGATACATGCATATATAGATACTTATATAGATACATGCATATATAGACACATGCATATATAGATACAAATATAGATACATATATAGACACAAGCATATATAGATACATGCATATATAGATACATATATAGATACATGCATATATAGATACATGCATATATAGATACATGCATATATAGATACATGCATATATAGATACATGCATATATAGATACATATATAGACACAAGCATATATAGATACATATATAGATACATGCATATATAGATACATATATAGATACATGCATATATAGATACATATATAGATACATGCATATATAGATACATGCACATATAGATACATGCATATATAGATACATGCATATACAGATACATATATAGATACATGCATATATAGATACATGCATATATAGATACATGCATATATAGATACTTATATAGATACATGCATATATAGATACATGCATATATAGATACATGCATATATAGATACTTATATAGATACATGCATATATAGATACTTATATAGATACATGCATATATAGATACTTATATAGATACATGCATATATAGATACTTATATAGATACATGCATTTATAGATACATATATAGATACATGCATATATAGATACTAAGATAGATACATATATAGATACATGCATATATAGATACATATATAGATACATGCATATATAGATACTTATATAGATACATACATATATAGATACATATATAACATAAATATATATAATGATAATATAAAAAAATAGAAAATTCTCCAAGGAAATTTTGGATTTCCTTTAGGAACAGGCTTCAATCTACAAACTGACCAAAAATGGTGATTCTAGTGCCAAATATGTGGCCATGAAAGAGACTTCCAAATGTTAGATGCTCTTTTAAAAAAAAAACGTCTCTCTCACTTTGAAAAATCAGTTGACTCACTAAGAATTGCTCGATTTTGCTCAAACTTTTTGGTGCTTTAAGGCTGATTTTAGAAAAAAACCGTAGCAGTTTTCAACATCTTTCAGTTTTAGAAAGATAAAGGATTAATCTACAAACAGAGCTTTAAATTGTGTTTCTAGGTGAACGTATGTAAAAATTCATGGATTGTTATGTCTTCTTTCTCCCATCTCTGTTTCATTCCTATGAGATTTTTTTTTGAGAATTACATCGCCATGGCATCTCAAATCGCTTATAAAAATAATAGCACCCATCTCGAGACCGAGCCGGACATTTTGATAACTATATTGGGTGGGTGCAGTTTGGCCGCATTAATGTTGACAGAAGAAGAATAAATATATAAATAAATAAATAAAGAGTCAGTTTTTTGACAAAAATAATAATAGGTGCCTATTGAGCATAGAATGCCATTGTGATTATTGGTGCCTGCCACTGCATTCCCTTACAATGGCAGGCACCAATAAATAAATCAGAATTAGCCTCCGGCTTATTGTGTCCCTCCATTCTGAACGGCTCCACGTTTGGACCCACCTTGTCGAAGGCGGGAAAGACGATGGGATGGGGGGAGTACTCTGGAAAGTGGATGTGCAGCGCCGTGGCGTTCTCAGTGTACGGGTTAGTCTGAATGGTTCCTATTGGGTTCAGCATCTCTTCAAGTTCATCTGGAAAACAAAAACAAAAAACCCAATAAGCCTGCAGAAAATCGAATGAAAACCAAAGCAGAAATGTCTGCGGTCTACCTGGAAAAGAAGACCAGCAGTGCAGGATGATGTCTCCAGTCTTCAGTTGCCCTTTGTAGTCAAACACCATGGTGTTGACCCAAGCTATGGGGTAGTGCTGCATCAAACGGTTATCCACCAGTCAGTGTTACATCACACAGGCGTCACAGGTTATTTTGGGATCCTCTTTCAGAGCTACTCACCACTTTCCCTGCCTTTCGGATGGTCTGGTATTTATTTATGTGAGGATTTTTGGTAGACTTCTGCTTTTTGACCTTATCCATGACGCCGTAGATGGCGAAGCAGAGGCGGGTCATGCGCGGCAGATCGGAGATGGAGATCTCAAACTCCAGAGCGTTGTCCTTCCAGGTGTGCTCCGAGCGGCCGCTGCTCTCGCTGCTCACCGCCGGCTTGCACAGCAGCTCTGTGCCGTGGAAGAGGCCCGCCCTCACCTGGACCTGGGTACATGTGCAAGATTAACTTCTCATCACCCGCCTTATTCACAAAAGTTTGATCGACCCAAAAAAAGGGTAATTGCATTTTAGAATGGAAGCATTTAAAGTGAAGGCCTTCTTGTTTTTGGTGACATCAATTTTCCACAAAATGTGGTTGTGCAAAATGTAACCACATAGGACAACATAAGTTGATGTCAGAAGTCTTTTTGTTTAAAATTCTGGAAAATTCTGTTTATATGGATTTTACCACTTTTGTTTTTGGTAACAGGTTTTCTTCATATATTACTCTTTTTTTATGAAAATTATCTCTTTTGAAGATTCTCAGTCATCCAGCTCATAATCATTTCAAAAAAAGTAAAAAAAACAAGCCGCTGGACTTTATTTCCATGTCCGAAGACGTTTCCCTTCCCATCCAAGAAGGTCTTTCAAAAAAAAATGTAAGAAATAGCGTTGAGTTTGAGTCGTAGGGAAGCGGCTGTTTCAACCGTTGCTTTTCTAAATTCTCCTGAGTGAATAACTTTACATGAGTGAATAAAGTGAATGTGATTGGTCGTTTATCAAGGGGGCGGGACTGTTGTGGCGGAAGGTTTGCAAGCAGGTTTGATTGTGGCCGATGCTAACCAATTAGCGTCTTAGTGCTAGTAGGTTCCCAATGGGAAATTCCGCTGGGACCAAGTAGCACTAAATTGGTGACTTAGAAACGACGCTGTCAAGGAACGCTATGGACAGAGGAAACATAGGAGGAGGAGAGTTTAGTGTCGGAGGTCGTGGATGAGTCTCCTCCGTCATCCATTTTTTATTTAGAGGAGGAAAGCGGGGACGAAGATGTTGTGGTGGAGGACGCCTAGCCTCGTGAGAGCATCCTGATCTCGCGAGCTTTCAAGGTTTCACTCGCTAATCATTCTGGAGACTCTCCGTTGAAGAAAATTTGGAGCCGTTCACCAAACGAACGTCCAATCAGCGTTGGCTTTGAGGCAGGTTAAGGCGTGATGCAACGAGAAGCGCGACAGTTCAGTCTAAAGAACATGGCGGCTTCAGCCGATGAAACTAGCGTTAGCGTGGCTATCGAGCAAGTTTTATCGGAATTACAGAGTATTTCTTCACTGAAAGAAGAGCAAAACACTGCTCTGGAGGCTTTTCTCAGAGGAAAAGATGTTTTTGCTCTTCTCCCGACTGGTTTCGGCAAGAGTAGCCTGGCTGTTAGTACGTCATATGCTTCATTGATCTGATTGGTTTATTTGGCCCGTCTATCACCAACATAGGCCAATCAGCTAACCAGTATTTTCGCCCCTTCCCAAAATAACTTCAACAGAAGGTTTTCAGATGGATATGCAGAGCAAATCCATCTGGCGGAGTCAGGTTAGAGGACGCCAGGGCGGCAGAAGCTTGGTTTGGTGTAGAAGGCTTCCAGCCGTCCATGTTTGAGCCCTTGCCTCGCAACGCTGCCAGTTCTGTTAGCTCTACGCCTGCCGAAGACACAGACGTCCATCCCCGTGAACACTGGGACGGAACTCAATGGGAAAGGAAAGGATTCTGATTGCTTATTTCAACCGTTGCGTATATTAGCTGCGACATATGAATCAAGATGCTATGACCGAAAATATTTGATTGACAGATGACAGTTGATCTATAATTGGCCGAATTTAGGTGTTCAGGCTGACGTAGAACTGGCCTGCATAAGAAAATGAAGAAACCCCCCCACAGGTTTTAAGACGGGATTTTTTTTTTTTAAATAGAAATTTTCTAAATTTTTGGACAATATCGTCTGATAAAAAGTACATTTATATACACGTTTAAGCCAGAATGATTTGACATTTAAATAAATAAAAATCCCTACGACTTTAATGATGGTGGCAGAATTTGACTGGTTAAATTGTTTTCTTGACAGAAAACGATGTCAGAGAGGCTGATTAATGATTAAATGAAAAGGTCCATACACTCTGGTCTGTATAAACCAGGAGGGTAACTGTTTAAAAATCATCAATTACAAATAAAAAAGTTTAATTTGTTTCCTCCTGAATAATAATCCTGCCTAAATACACCTTTTGAGCAAAAGCATTTACGTTTTTCTTCCACTTCTGGCTATTTGGTTTTGATTTAAGCAACAAAAACACATTAATATTTGTGGTTTAAACAACCTGGATGTGGAAAGATGTAATATTAGTGAGCTTGAAGGGGATGTGACACTGCTGTGACATAGCAGTCATCTATTAAACATTAAGAGCGTTTCACGTAGAGTTTACCTTGGCACTCTCTTCGGCGTTCACCTTGCTGCCTTTGACGAGGACTATCCTGAACGGGCTCGACACGTCCCACACACACGTCTGGACCTGCTGAGGGGGAAGAGCGAGAGCAGAAAGGGAGAGCCGTCGTGAGTGTAAAAGTATGCGGAGAGCCGCGGCGCTTCATAGCACAGGCCGAGGTCAGGCAGGTCGCAGTGATGTCAGGGCGAGTGGATTTGCGAGGGTCAGCAGGCAACAGAGCAAACAGCCTCACATGATGCCTAAAAAAACTACAGACGTGACTAAGTGGCCCACTTCCTGCCATCTGTGTGGCTAAAACTCATGTGAGCGTGACAATAAGGAGTATTTACAGTCGCTTATCAGAAACGAGGCACAGTACAGCTCCAAGTCCACAACAACTGAACATGTTTTACCCATTATCCCTCACATTCCCATCCCTTAATCCATTCAACATCTTTAGATTTAATCTAGTTTGTATAAAGAAGCAGTAAAGGCAGCTCTGTTTTTGCCAGGATTACCTCAGAACCATGAATAATAATAATAATAACTATTTTACATCAATAAATCCATTTTATTAGGGCTTGCAAAAATATTATTTTAACTTATTACCTGAATTATAACCATTTTTAATGCAAAAATCTACTTTTTGTTGTATTAAACCTTTAACTGTCATAATGCTTTTGCCTCATTTTCATCTGACTCAAAATGGAATGTTGTTAAATTAATGAATTCATCTAATCGACATGAATTCATCTCCTCCTTGTCCTGGAAAACAGGAAAACCAACTTTGCCGTTTTCTCAGATCTTTTTTTTTTTTTTTTTTTACCTTTATTTCACATATTTTATTTTTTCAAAACTTAGCTTTTTCCATTTTTTTAAATGTATTTGACGTATTGTATTTTCAAAGTATGTATTAAAGTATAAAAGCTGTAAAAATTTGGAAAAATCAATAAAAAATTATATATATATATATCTCTCTCTCTCTCTATATATATATATATATATATATATATATATATACATATATATAGGTATACAAGAATTGTAAAAATAAATTATAAACAAAAAAATTCTCTAAGTTTGTTTTTGGTTAAGAGGTTTTTATAAAGTTGCATTTCTGGATTGCTTTTTTTTTTTTTTTTTTTAGCAAATTTCAATTTAATATATATTTTTTAATTTCCATTTACAAAACATGTTCTTTGAAAAAAAAAAATGGAACAAAATTTACTCCATACATATGGAGGTGTAAATTTATCTATTCATCAACCCTTGAATAGGCCAAAACTAAATAAAAAAAAAAATCAACTATTATACTATTTTTCCTTCTGGTTTTGACTCTGGTCTGATATCAAGATATCAAAATTTGAATATGGGAATAAATTAGCCAACATCTAAAACCTCAGATATCAGGAAGCTGATCTAAACTTGTATTTAAAGGTTCTGGAAGACATTGATAAATAAAACCAGAAACAGTTGTTCTTGCACTACTCTACGTTTAAGTAATATCACCCGATTAAGCCTTTTATAATATTCCAAACTACAAAATTAGTAATAAAAATAGGTTTCTAAGTTTCTGGTCAATATCTGGATGATATTGGAAATGAAAAAGCTGCATCCGCAAATCTGTATATTCTATTACAAAATGTAGTACAGTTGGTAAAGTTCAATCATCATTCATATGTTCCCCTACATTTTCACATAATATGTTTACATTATTTATTGGCTGCATCAAAAAATATCAAAGATATTTTCAATTTAAACTTAGATATGAAAAAAATACAATAAAATCTACAATAACTTCAATTATATCAGTATACTAAGTCATCAAATCAATTCAGTTTATTCCAATAAGCTGTCTGTAGTTCTTTAAATGTCCAGCAGGTGTCAGTATTCTGTGAGACAGTTTTAACGCAGTATCAATACATTTTGCAATGTGTCGAAATGATTCAAGATGCCTCATTGAACCATCATTACTAATCGCGTCGTCTTTGCCGCTTGGGCGTGATGTTGTTCGGAACACCGTCACCTGCTCCGCTGGTCGCACCCGTCTGGGCCACCGTAATTTGGTCAGGCTACTTGTAAGCACACAGCCTCCCAAACATTGAAAGGGCAATATTATTACCTTTACTGGTCATTTAAGAAGAGGGATGATTTTTAAGATTTTTCTAAGAAGAAGGGGGATGCCTTCCCCCCTCATCCCCCCTCGACTCGAGTACTGTGCGCCTGATTGGAGCAGCTTTAACTGATGCTTCGTAATCAGCATTACGCTGCCGTGCGTTATGCATAAGTTAGGCTGGCTCGTTGGACACAAGTTATGGACTCGTTATGAATACGCTATGTATAAACCCAAAATTTTTAAAATGCATAGAAAGTTCAGCTTTTGTTTTAGGAGATTCTGGGACGTCAGGCGTACGCTGGCTAAATCAGCAAGGTGTCACAGAGGCTAAAGCAGCGTCACATTCATCAGACTCTCACTGTAAACACAAGGTATGAATAAATGTCAGCAAACCCTGTGATAAATGGAAAAGCACTTCAGGTGACAGCCTGATTAAAGCCCGATATTTATCCACTCTTTAAGCCGAACATCCCAGGTAGATCTATAGCCCGGCCAGCATCAGGATCTCAGCAGGAGTCTCTCTAATGAAGGCCAATTTAAAAAACCAGCCTGACATTTGAAAAGCAACGAGGAATCGCTGCTCTCCTCTGACGACCCGCAAACCGCCGCCAGGCTGCTGCTCCGACTCTGACATACTTTAAACGCTGCCTCATAAAGAGGCAGATGGCAGCTGCCAAGAGTGTTTACTTTGTAAACCTCCACACCTGTGACATCCTGCGCTGGAGAATCAATCACTCTGTGGGGCTTCGGCTATTTTTGGTGCATCAAGAAGACCAGAGTAAACGCTGCAGGATATTAAAACCGTTATCTAAGGTACACAGAATATGTTCCCATAGTGGCAAAAACAAAGCTGTTCACGGCCGTAAAGATATAAAATGAAAGATCATGGTTATATGAAGTGGCAGAAATTAAAGAGAATACTTTACATCCGTTTCTGTTGGATTAACAAAGGCTGAACAGATAGCAGACAAACATTCTCAGCTCACTAAATGTAAGGAGGAGCCGGTTTTCAACCCTTTCTGTAAAAAAGCCAATGTTGTTCCAGTTCATAGTTAAGATGAATGAGCTTAAAGGAATAGTACACCCAAAACATGATTAGCCTTCATTTTCTACTCACCCCCATGCTGAACAACACTCTGGAGTACTTTTTTGATATCTCAAATGCATCTGGAGATCTGGGAGGCTTCTTGCTGTCTGCTGACATTCAAATAATGGAGGTCTATGGCGCCCGAGACAGAAAGGTCCATAAAAGTCCACAAAAAACGTGTCAATATTCCTCCATACTGCTCGTCCAATGTATTCCAAGTGTCCTGAGTGGGTAGCATCCAGAATTTACTCGAAACGAAGTCATTTAGAATGTTTTTAGAGCATAAACAGTAGTGTATAGGATTTCCTAAAAGCGCGTTCACGAGTCTACGGAAACCGCGGCAGACCAAACCAGATGAAAGTGCGCATTCAGGGTCTGCTCTGCCGATAATGCAAGCGTAGAAGAAGAAATGTGCTGTTTACCTGTGCAAAGAAAGCCTCCCAGATCTCCAGATGCATTTGAGATATCAAAAAAGTACTCCAGAGTGTTGTTCAGCATGGGGGTGAGTAGAAAATGAAGGCTAATCATGTTTTGGGTGTACTATTCCTTTAAAGTTCAGTTCACACTAGGGGTGTAAATCACATCCATCATTTGATTCAGTATCGATTTCCTGACCCAACGATTTGATTCGATTAATTGGTTCTTTTTTTGTTTTTTTCTTCACCTTACAGGCTAGACCAGGGGTCGGCAACCTGCGGCTCTGGAGCCGCATGCGGCTCTTTAGCTCCCCCTTGTGGCTCCCTGGAGCTTTTTCAAAAATTTATGAAAAGCAATTTTTTCTTTTTTTAATGTGGTGTGCAGCTGGCAAACAAAAATTAATATTTTCCAATGCTTTAAACATTTGTATTATAAATTTAAAAAATAATTTGCGTCAAAGCCATAGAGATCAGTGATCATAACTACCAGCATGGAGCGGTGCCAGGCAAACAAAGCTGCAGGTGTGTCTCGGAATATGAATGCCAAAGAGAAAATAAGGAAGATAGGCCGACTCATCTGCTTTCATTATCAATGCTGAACGATTGCCTGCATTTTCGCTTTGTAATGAGAGGGTGTAATAAAAAAAGAAAAATTTGGAAAGGCATTTCCAGGGAAGGCTAAATCTGCAGCCGACCACCGAGCTGGGAGGGAGAGATAAAGTGCGATTGCAGGATAAATTAGAGAAGCGCAAAGATAGATTTAAGAAGTGAATTGCATTTCCAAACTCCACTCCTGCTGCTAGTTTTGTTGCAAGGATGGAAAACCATCCACAGATCAAACAGGCAGCGCTTTGATGCAGGTATCTGAACTTTCTTCCATTTTTTCCCCAAATCCTAAAAATATTAATCAGACCAAGGAACGATGGTGACGGAGGATGTGGGATTTCGGGGTTAGAGAGCTCTGCTCTGATGTCACTTCCTGCTTGGTTCCTCATGAGTCAATCAACTCCTCCTAACAGAAACACGTCCACCATAGAAAGATTCCTTTATTGTTTTGTATAATTTCATCATTGCAAGAAAACTTAAACCGTGCAGTGAAGGTTGTGAAGCGGGATTGGAGCGTTCACTGTTCCTCCGTCAGCGCAGGCTACTATGTGACATTTGCTTCGGGATAAACATTTAATCGTAAATGCTTATTATATATTTAAGCCCATATAGTCCTTTTCTATAGCGGGATAATACACTTAGAGCCCGTGTTGCTATACGAGGCTTATATAAGGCTTTTACATTTTTGCGGCTCCAGACAGATATTTTTTTTTTTTGGTCCAATATGGCTCTTTGAGCAGTTTGGGTTGCAGAACCCTGTGCTAGACAATGTTTCAAATTTGAAATAATCAATAAAAGCTGTAATATTGCTATGCATATTTTTTTTTTTAGAACCAATAGCAAATAACAGAAGTAGAAAAGTTGCACTCCACCTATTCCTATTAAAACCGCATTCACTGAAAAATAATAATACCCCTGCGTTATAGATTCTGCAAGGCTTTGCATCAAAAAATACTGCACTAAATCAGTGCAATGAGTGCAATGCAATACCTCGGCTCCAGACGTCCCGCCCCCTCCACAGACGCTCCGCTGCTCCTCTCCCAGATTGTAGCTGACCGCAGACAGTGCCGCAGACAGGAGGCCGGCTTGTTTTGTTTTTATGACTGAAATTGCGGAAAACAACTCGTGAAGTTTGACCCGCTAGAAGAGCGAGGTGCACGAGAACGCTGGGACCCTTTTTCCACCTGGATCTCCGCTCTTTTTGGCCCTCATGTCCCTCCGTCGTCAGACTAAACTCGCCCCCACTTCCTCGCCGCCTCGGCCGTATCTAGACCCACAGCGTGTAGCCCAGACCACGCTTCAATATTGAGCATAATTCAAAAAATGTCTGTGTCAAGCTCACTGCAACACACTGCTGTAAGAGTATAACCAGGAAGCGAGGTAGGAGGGCAAAATAGGTTTAGCGCCACCGCAGCACAGGAGGGAGAATTACGCCCAGGAGCAAATGGATAAAAATAGACCGGAGGAAAAAAAACAGAACATGAATCGATACTTTTGCGGACGTATCATCGGATCGTCGGCTGTTGGATCGATGCATCGATACAAAACGATTATTATTTACACCCTAGTTCACGCGGACGAAAATGAACTAGCTCACGTTCATAGTTCAGTTTTTCAAAAAATGAACCAAGTTGTCAAACCTAACCTGCCTAACCTAACCTAACTATAGATCGATCTGGATCCAAAACTATTTCTTCTGTTCCTCATTGAGTAGCAGATATTTCCCAAGATAGCTCAGATGCTTTAACTCCATGTGTGGCTTTAAATGTGACTGACGTACGGACTTGTTTGTTAAGTCATGGTGGGAACAGTTCGCACTAAAACGAGTTTTTCTTCTGTCCCAGTCTTTGCTCTGCTAAGCTGGCATCAGAAATACCAGCAGATGAGTCTGAATGGAGCAGACTAGTACTAGCAGTAGATGGGCTGCTCTGTCAGGCTGTTTACCGTAATAAGTGCCGTAAAACTTGGCGTCTTTTAATTAAATAGTGTCGTTATCAATCGAATGCCAACCCGAGCTTTGTGTGTCAATCATTCTCAGAGTGAGCGTCGCTCTGGTTCACGTTCACTACTTCAGTTCACTAAACCTAAATTTCAGTTCAACGTTCACTAAAAATACTGAGCATATTTAGTGAAGAACGTTCATTGACAGCAAGCAGCGTACAGCGGCGGCAGAGCCTCGCCATTTCTAAGCCAGACTAAATCGGTGTGGTGAGGGTCAGACTGATCAATCACAGCGCGATGATCGGAGTGCTCATCATTGGCAGAATTACCCATAATGCATCAGCAGGTTTTTGTCATAACTGTAAAGATTAGCATTGAGAGTAGCGATGGACCAACACAGCCTTTTTTAAAGGATGATATGGATATTATTTTGAACTAATCTTTGCTGCCAGTTTTTCTTATTGTGTCATTTCTATGAATATAAAGCATTGATTCAAAGAAAACTAAAATTTAATTGGAAATCAAACAATAATGATGAAAACCACATGGAAGGAGGAGCAATTATTGCGCCACACATGATGTTAAACTGACATTATTTAAGTTGTTACTGAAAATGATCTAAAATAAAAAATTTTATTAGACCCTTTATGACTAAAACATAATTTAATTAACTTGTAAATATGCGTATAAATAGACTGCACCTCACTGTCATCACTATGTTCGAGATCAGTAAATGTTTTCAGATGGTTAGTCCTTTTTGATTAATTGTTTAATTCAACTATTAATTTAAAACTTTGTATATTTCATAACTGGACTTCTAGTTGAATTTAAAGTTCTGACAGCAGCAAAGTTTCCAAATTTGTGATTTTAGATCATAAAACTATAAATGTAGTTACTTTGAGTTTACAGTGACTGAATTACTAACTCAGTATCTTTTTGAGAAGAATCTAGTAACTGTAACTAATTACTACTTTTAAGTAACATTCCCAACACCGGTGAAGACGGTGGCCTCAAGAAGAGATGTTTAAATATTTGAATTATTATGTGAGCTGAAAATGTCTTTAACATTTCAACAGCTGGCTGCTATAAGTGTTTTTCTTTAAAAATAAATTACTGAATCAATAAAAAGACCTCCAGCTCCTTTCCAGACTGATTTGCTGTGAATACGCTATAACTCTGGGTTCATTTTTGCAAAAAAACATCGAAATTAAAGCAGAAATTTAACTTGAAACTGATTCAAGCTTTGAAATAAAAGAATATAATGAAATATAAAAAATTTGAGCCAACAAAACAAGCTACTGATCTGTATTCTACAAATAGCATTAGCTACGCCTTAACCCCGACAGCAACCCTATTCCTGCACCCAACCATAACCTAAACCTCAACTCATTTCACACCTAAACTGTAACCTAACTAACCTTACAAAGGAAGTGAGGACCAGAAAAATAACCTCACTAAATATACGTGAATAAAGTGAAATGGGAAACATGGTTCCACACACAGACAGGCTTCAGGGGGACTAACCGTGGGGTTCCTTCTTTTGGGAGGTAGCGGTAACGGTGGGTTGGAGGACTTGCGGCTAACCACAGCTCCGATGGCAGACATTTCCTTGTCAAACATGGCCTTGATGGTGCTGGAGTGGACCAGGGTTAGGTGAGGAGTTTCTTTGGCTTGAAGGCATGTGCGGATGTACTGTAAGGAAGACAGCAAGGAAAAAGCCTTTTTAAAATCAGCTATTTAAACCTCAACTAAAGAGAATAAATAAACTGAACCAATAAATAATCAGTCAATAAAATATTAAATAAAAACAACAATAAAACGACTTGAAATAAAAAAAGAAGAAGCGTTTTTACAGGAGAGGATTTGATCATAGCTACAAGTTTAACTCCTCCTGGCCACTAAGTGGTGCCATCATCTACTCCATACTGTTTGCTAAGTCTGCTAATGCTAACCTTTCACCTCTCAGCTAGTTGCTGCCACTGTTACTACCGGATTTGTCCCGTAAAAACGATCCGTTCTGCGGATGCTATATCGGCTCATTTGCGCATCCAGATATACATCCGAGTCACACTCGATTTTATTTTGTTAAAAATACCTAAACTACATTTTTTCCTCACCAAAAATGGTAAACTACTAAAACAAGCTTCATACAGGAATGAGTAATGCTAATTTAATGCTTTTTAATGCTCTTAGAAATTATTTTAATGCCATCAACAAGTACTTATAACGCTCATAAAACACGGCATAATCCTTTGTTATTTTATCGTCCTGAATTCCTTCTTTTCCAGCCACTTTTGTTTTTTGAAATTTGCATTTTCCCATTTCTCTAGAGGTTTCTCTGCCTCAAGCTTCTTTTCGGAACACACGGCTTTACGATCAACCTTGAAGCAATTCCGCGCTAACACAAAGAACCTGTTATATTTAATATATCTGGTGAAATTGTTCTTATAAATGTATTTCTCTTTTTATAATAAAAAATAAAAGCGATAATCATATTTAATGACTTTTAATGCCAATTAAGGCATTAATAAAAAAATAAATAAAAAAATGTAATGACTTGTAATGATTTTTAAAGACCCCCGGAAACCCTGTAAAATATGTGTTAAAGGTTATTAATGTATTTCCTGAGAAAATAAATGCCTTAAAATCCTTTCTATTTTATCAGTCTGTGCCCGATCTGCACTGGAAATGGGTTCCTGCGCTACGTCTGGGAGCTAACTTTTTCGGATTTAGATTTAAACATAAATCTAGTCTTTTTGAGTTTTAGGTTTTCCTTTCGCGTTAACATTATGGTATATGGTGCGTAATCTAAAGAAAGAAACAACTAAAAGAGTTTCAGTCTGGCTTTAGAGCTCATCATAGCACTGAAACAGCTCTGGTGAAAGTCACTAATGATATTCTCATGGCCTCAGATAATGGACTTGTATCTGTGCTCGTCCTGTTGGATCTTAGTGCTGCATTTGATACAGTTGACCATAATATTCTTTTAGAAAGACTTGAATATTTTGCTGGAATTAAAGGAACAGCACTAGACTGGTTTAAATCTTATCTATCTGATCGAATTCAGTTTGTTCATGTTAATGATAGATCTTCAACACGCTCAAAGGTTACCTGTGGAGTACCACAGGGATCAGTGCTAGGACCAATTCTCTTTACTTTATACATGCTCCCAATTGGTAGAATTATTAGACAGCATGGGATTAATTTCCACTGTTATGCTGATGATACCCAGCTATATCTGTCTATAAATCCAGATGAAGCTAACCCATTACATAGATTACAGGCATGTCTTGAAGACATAAAAACCTGGATGACTCTTAACTTTCTGCTTCTGAATGCAGACAAAACAGAAGTTATAGTCTTTGGACCAGAGTCTCTGAAAAAGAAACTGATTAGCCAGTCACTTCATTTGGATGGGATTAAACTGATTTCAGATAATAAAGTAAAAAATCTTGGTGTTATTTTTGATCAGGACCTGTCATTTAAATCCCACATCAAAGAGGTTTCTAGAATTTCCTTCTTTCATCTGAGGAACATTACAAAAATTAGAAATATCCTGTCCAGGGGTGATGCTGAGAAACTAGTCCATGCATTTGTTACTTCAAGGCTGGACTATTGTAATTCTTTACTATCAGGAAGTCCACAAACTGTAGTTAAAAGCCTTCAGCTGATCCAAAATGCTGCAGCCAGAGTTCTAATGAAAATTAAAAAGAGAGATCATATCTCTCCTATCCTGGCTTCTCTTCATTGGCTTCCTGTTAAATCAAGAATAGAATTTAAAATCCTCCTTCTCACATATAAAGCCTTAAACGGCCAAGCTCCATCTGATATCAGAGATCTGATTGTTCCTTATGTTCCTAACAGAGCACTTCGCTCTCAATCTGCAGGTTTACTAGTGGTTCCTAGAATTTCTAAAAGTAGAATGGGAGGCAGATCTTTTAGTTCTCAGGCTCCTCTCCTGTGGAACCAACTACCAGTTTTAGTCCGTGAGGCAGACACCCTGTCTACTTTTAAGGCTAGGCTTAAAACTTTCCTTTTTGATAAAGCTTATAGTTAGGGTGGCTCAGGTTATCCTGAGCTATCTCTATAGTTATGCTGCTATAGGCTTAGACTGCTGGAGGACATAGGGACCCCCATTTCATCATTCTGCTTCATTCTCTCTCTGTTCTCCTATTCTGCAGAATCTGTTAGTTCAATCTCTAACCTTCTGCTCTCTCTGCTTTTCCTCAGAGTAGCTTTGCCTCGTCTGTTCCTGTTTGGCTGTGACGTCATCCTGGAAAGAAACATCAGCTGTGCTGCTTCTATCAACACCCTTATTTATAGATGTTGGAGATCGGCCGGTTTTCCAGTGTGGTCCTGTTTCTCTGACCGTGACTGAGTGGATGTGCTCTCTTCGTCCTCTGGCATGGGAGCTGCCTTGGAGCTCGTCTGCCTGGCTGTGTGTTTCCTGGACGGGGCCGCCTTTTACAGCTGCTTTTTGTATCTCTGCTTCTGTCTCCTTGAACCCCAGTCGGCCTCAGCAGATGGCCGCTCACACTGAGCCTGGTTCTGCTGGAGGTTTCTTCCTGTTAAAAGGGAGTTTTTCCTCTCCACTGTCGCTACAAGCATGCTTAGTGTGGGGGATTGTATTTGAATCAATGAGTCAATGCAATCAACTGGTTTTCCTTAGATAGAAAACTTTGTATCAATTTGACTGTATGATCTGGTTGAACTGTAAAGTGCCTTGAGATGACATGTGTTGTGTGAATTTGGCGCTATATAAATAAACTGAATTGAATTGAATTAAAATGCAGACAAATCAGAAAGAGAAGTCAGAAAGCTTTTTTTGAAGACGCATACTAGCATTCTTTAGTGAGTTAAGGATAGAAATAAGCAATTTTACTACCATTATTACATGATTTATGGAAACCTGGATATATATCTGTTGACGCACGGGCAGAACGAATCGTGCTTACGACACGGATCGGGAAGCAACAGCCACATATGCTTGATTCCAATAGGACTGAAAAAACTAAAAATCCTGAATTTAACCAACCTATTTTTTTTTGCTGTAATCTCATTTGACAGAATTGAAGCAACACTGTCACTCTTAGCCACCAGGGGCGCTAGAGACACTGTACTGTAGCTAGGACAGCCTGAATGGAGCATCATATCAACGAGAAAAATCATTTAATAAATCTCAAAAGAAGCCTGGTTTTAAACTTACAGTATTGCTTTAAACACAGATAAACTGTTTTTCCTGCTGCTTTGACTTTCTTCCGATATTTTCTAGCTTCAAAAATACATAATTTAAACCAAAAAACAAAATTATTATTGTTTTTTTTTACTCTCTTAAAAGATGAGCAGTTTAAAGATTATTTCATCTTCCATCCCCGCTTTCACAACTTCAAAACCACCAAGCAACACCCTGACTGACAGGTTTGTTATAATAATCAACAAAAGCTAAAACATTTTAAGACTGGACATGAGTCCTGACAATAAAGCATTAAATACTCATATAATACAACTATGGATGATACAGAAATAGAACTGTCTATATATCACATAAGTCACATCTAATCAGTCCCTGCTCTGTTATTCAGACCTGAGAGGTTAGTTGGCCTGCAGCTATAGTTACGTAAATAAAGGTGAATCTCCATTGACCTTGTATTGAATCAGAGGATGGTCTCCACAGAGGAACTCCAGGCAATGGCTGACTCGGAGCACATACTGGCCCCTCCAGGCCTCCTCCTCGGGCGCGTGGGTGATGAGCCACTTCTTCACTGCCATCTCCATCAGCTCAGAGGGCGTGCAAGACGACAACGACACCTTCAGACTGGTCGAATCCTGTGAAGCAGCAGACGCCAAGAGGAGGCGATGAAATTGAGGAGCAAAGCAAAGTTCATACAATCCAGAAAAAACCCTTTAAAACAACAATTACCCATAAAAAACAGCCTAAAATAGCAAAAAAGCATGCTTTATTTCTTAAGATAATTAAAATAAATTTGTTGTAGGTTGAAGCAAAGAAGTATTTGATCAATTTTGTTTTAACAGTTTAAAAGGCAGATTAGCTCCAGAGAAAACATCTTCAGCAGCTCTTTCAACACAAAGCTGCAGTAAACAGAGACTGCGCTTCACTGCACTCTTAAAAGCTTAAAGTCTTTCTATTGAGAAGCCAGCGGAAGTTTTCTCCATCTGTATGGATTCAAGAGACGCTTAGCTCTGCCAAAGAAAGCTGCTATACCGGTTATCACATCTACAGGAAATACAAACTGAGCTTTTAGTGCATTTTTGAGGTTGGTGAGGTTCTAGAAACTATAGGAGAGTTGCCCATCTATGATATGTTTAAGAACCACAGGAAGTTCTTAGAAATAAATCAATCAATACAGTAAAGTATCCAAGCTAGAGTTCCAGTAGAGAACAATCTGTAATAATAATTCAACTTTATTAATCTCACACTGGAGAAATTCACCTCTGCATTTGATCAGGGGTGGATTTAGGAAAATTTGGGCCCTGGGCAAAGACAGGCAGGGGGCCCTCTGAATACAGAAGACAACACGTAAAACAGACACATTATACAGATAGAGAATTTTGAATAGAATAAACATCCATTATGTGTTCTACACTTTGTCCCTCTCTTCTAGTTTTCCTCTCTATGTTTTGTACTCAGCTGACTTTTCATGCTGTCTCTAAAGGAATGAAAGATTTTTTCCAAGCACTAAGCTCACTTAGCTGATTGCTCCTTCCTGTGTTTCCAAAAAGGCCAAAGTAAATAACCCAGTCCTTCTTTTCACTGTAGACAAGCCATGATCTGCTTATCTGTTCTCCATTTTTCATTTGGATGAAATAATAGCTGCATGAATCATGACAGCAGACAAGATAGAGGAGAGCAGGAGGCGGGGTTACCAATCTACTCGCTCTGGAGAGCAGAGTTCGCTGCTTTTAGATGTTGTCGCCAAAGTCTCCAGTAGCAGAAACAAGTCTCTAGATTTAGAAATCAAAGTGCTAGAGGGGTCTGAAAAGTGGCTAAATATAGCGACTAAAGCGCTAAGTTGGCAACACTGCTCTTCGCATTGTTTTTTTCAAATGGTTTGCTGCTGTCTGTTTGGACCTTTCTGAACATGTGCAGCAAATGGACTGATCCAATATGGTGGACACTGAAGGGGGGGCTGAGACACACTTAATATTATCAGCGTTCTGATGGCATTTTAGTGAAGGTTTTTATCAAAAACATAATTAACATGCAGAAGTAAGGAATAGTTGTATTAACCAAACATGTAAACAGAGTTTTATGGGGCCCCCAGAAAAATTGGGGGCCTAGGCAACTGCCTACTATTGCCTAATGTTAAATCCACTCTTGCATTTGACCCATTGGGGAGCAGTGTGGGGTTAAGGGTCTTGCTCAGGGACCCAGAGTGCAGGCTGTGGGGGATTAAATCGGGTACTTGCAACCTTCTCAGAGCACAAGCGCACTGCTCTAACCAGAAGGCCAACACTCCCCCAGCTGTGAAGCTCAGAAAGGTTTGCAGACTTAGTCACAAAAATGCTGCAAAAGCAGTCGAACAGATGCCAAAATATCAGCTGGGTTGGTGCAACCTGATGTGTCACAATGTTGAAATGACGACGCACCGGTTCTCACATAAAAGCACGTCCCGGACGCACAACTTGAAACTGCAGTTGTCCATAGAGAAGGGAATGATGGCTCCTTAACTAATATACTGCCGATTTGCATACTGCCACATTTTTGGACATGTCTGAATAAAAACACCCAACTACTTCCTGGTCCGCCCAAACTCATAAAACTACTTCCTGGTTTCCTCTGAGCCCAAAGCCTTTTTTTTCTCTATACATTTAATTTATAACAAGGCAGGCTAATGCTAGCGTACTTCCTTCCTAGCAAGGCAGGCTAATATTAGCGTCCTTCCTTCTTAGCAAGGCAGGCTGATGTTGGCATCCTTCCTTCCTAGCAAGGCAGGCTGATGTTGGCATCCTTCCTTCCTAGCAAGGCAGGCTGATGTTGGCATCCTTCCTTCCTAGCAAGGCAGGCTGATGTTGGCATCCTTCCTTCCTAACAAGGCAGGCTGAAGTTGGCATCCTGCCTTCCTAGCAAGGCAGGCTGATGTTGGCATCCTGCCTTCCTAGCAAGGCAGGCTGATGTTGGCATCCTGCCTTCCTAGCAAGGCAGGCTAATGTTAGCGTCCTTCCTTCCTAGCAAGGCAGGCTAATGTTAGCGTCCTTCCTTCCTAGCAAGGCAGGCTAATGTTAGCGTCCTTCCTTCCTAGCAAGGCAGGCTAATGTTAGCATCCTTCCTTCCTAGCAAGGCAGGCTAATGTTAACATCCTTCCTTCCTAGCAAGGCAGGCTAATGTTAACGTCCTTCCTTCCTAGCAAGGCAGGCTAATGTTAGCATACTTCCTTTCTAGCAAGGCAGGCTAATGTTAGCATACTTCCTTTCTAGCAAGGCAGGCTAATGTTAGCATACTTCCTTTCTAGCAAGGCAGGCTAATGTTAGCATCCTTCCTTCTTAGCAAGGCAGGCTAATGTTAACGTTCTTTCTTCATAGCAAGGCAGGCTAATGTTAGCATACTTCCTTTCTAGCAAGGCAGGCTAATGTTAGCATACTTCCTTTCTAGCAAGGCAGGCTAATGTTAGCATACTTCCTTTCTAGCAAGGCAGGCTAATGTTAGCATCCTTCCTTCTTAGCAAGGCAGGCTAATGTTAACGTTCTTTCTTCATAGCAAGGCAGGCTAATTTTAGCGTCCTTCCTTCCTAGCAAGGCAGGCTAATGTTAGCGTCCTTCCTTCCTAGCAAGGCAGGCTAATGTTAGCGTCCTTCCTTCCTAGCAAGGCAGGCTAATGTTAGCATCTTTCCTTCCTAGCAAGGCAGGCTAATGTTAACATCCTTCCTTCCTAGCAAGGCAGGCTAATGTTAACGTCCTTCCTTCCTAGCAAGGCAGGCTAATGTTAGCATACTTCCTTTCTAGCAAGGCAGGCTAATGTTAGCATCCTTCCTTCCAGGATTGATGTTATTCAAGAAAGAGGAGTATAAACGCAGTTATTGGACTTTTCTGGTTTGAACTTAGAACAAAAAAATGCCTGTTTGAGATAATCCATGTTTCTACATTAAGACACTTTTAAAATAATCTTTATTCCGTTTTCGATATAAACCTAATAAATTTGAGTAAAAAACTTGAATGCTTTTCTAAAATGAGATCTATTAAATCATCCACTAATACAGGACGCGCTGAAGCTCATCTCTATTTATAGCCCAGCACTGACCTGATACCAAAGAAGGAATTATAATTTCCTGGAGGTTAAATAGAAATGTCATCCATCAATAATTAACAGAATATGGTCAGATGATGGGTTTTAGCTTCCCGCTGAAAACAGCTGAGAATTAAAAACTGCTCTGAAAAACAACAAGGAAACTGTGAAGCAATCCTGATGGTGAAACAATAGTTTGTTACAGTTGGATCACAGACAGTAAAACAAATTTCCTCTCCGTACAGCAGCTTATTGTGTCCGACCTCCAAAATAAGACTTCCTGCCTACGTCCACCTGAATGCACTGGCACAGATGGCCTCTCTTTCTGTGATGTTAATCAAAGTTGTTACACAGACTGTGCAGGAACAGGACCATCTGTTTTTATTTGAAGATAGCATCGCTTCTGTATGAGCGATGAGAAGACTGCGAGGACACAGACGAGCGTTGGGAGGTGCAGAGGGGTTGGTTTTAATCAGCGATCTGTTCCCAGGAGCTGAAAGGCTAATATAAGAGAGAGTCACAGAGACTGGCATAATTTCACTGATGGTTTTGACCCACTTAGTGCCGTCACATGTCTTGATCGTTGGGCTCGGTCACGTGACGTGTGTGAAGCTGCCAACTGTGAGCAGAAAACAAGGCTGGAGCTACAGTAACACAAGCGTGCGCTGCAGGGGTCACATGGTACCCTTTCTGTTCACACAAGGTGGTTTTGTCTTATGTATCAGATCAGCAGAAAGTCACATTGCTATTCCAGGTCCTTTCTGCAGACTGAAGAGGAACAAATCAATATGGGGCCCGCCAGGGGTTCGGCTTAAGGATCTATTATTACACCGCTTTGGTTGAACTGGTCGTACATCAGGGGTGCAGAGCATCTTAGTGTCCTAAATGCACAATTTAGGGGAGAACCGGTTTCAGCAAGAGAATGAATTCATCAATCAAAGTACTCCAGATATTTATTGTATGCAACCCTTGCAACAGAGTAGAGTTTAAGTGATTTTTGTTCCATTATTGTTACAAACATTTTAATTAATCACTTTTTATCATGTTTGTTTTCATATTCTATTTTATTAAATTTGATCTTTTTCAAAAACTTACTAATCTGTTTACCTTTAATATCCTTTTTTTTTTTTTAAAGAGACATGAAACATTTTGTTTTTGTCCTTTCAATGTACATTAGAAGACAATGTTATTGTTTAAAGTCATGGATCCTTTCATTGTTTTGCTTATATAAAATGTAAATAAGGCAAATCTTATTTATTTATACATACAATGTATAGTAATTATATTCATTCTTAAAGTCGTAGGGAAATTATATTTAAATGTCAAATTCTTCTGGCTTAAGTATATAAAAGTACTCTATATCAGACTATATTGTCCCAAAAGTCAGGATTTTTTTTTTATAGAAATTTTCTGTACGGCCAAGTGCTGGATGTTAAACTAAATCTCTTAATAGATTCAAAACTAAATTACCTGCACTGAAAAGTTACAGAGTTTTGCTTTAAAAACTATGGAGTGAATTGTGTTCAATTACTGTTGCGAGCAAAGAAAACATTTTTGTAAATGGAAATGTGAATAAAACGCAATCCAGAAATACAACTTAAAAAAAAAAAAATGTCTTAAGAAAAAAACAAAAACAAAAAGGTTTTAGGAAAAACTTTGCTGTTTTCTCAGATTTTCTTTTTTAATTTATATTCAGAAAAAGTTTACTAATTTCATTGTTTTCAAACAGTGTTATACAGATCCCATTCTATTCAGCTCAAGCCCAAAACAAACGGTTAAATGCGGAAAACAATTATATGATTAAAAATAATAAATTCCAAGAAAACTGTAAATTTACACTTAAAAAGACTTTTTTTTTCCAGTTTTATTTCTCAATTGTACTTGCAACAATAATGAAACAAAAATCACTCCATATAAAAGCAGCACTTCACTAATATTTACAGCTTTTTGCCTTTTTAACTATGGGGGATAAAAAGTGCCAAAATTAAATAAATAAATACAGCATTAAATAAATAATTAAATGTGTCAATAATAAATTAAATGTGCAATTAAATAAATAAATGTGTCATTCATTAATTAAAACCACGTCACTAATATAAGGTGCCACAATTAAATAAATACAGCGATAAACAAATAATTAAATGTGTAATTCATTAAATAAATAAGGAATTAAATATATAAATGTGTCATTAATTTAATAAAATGCGTCTTCATTTTATTAAGAAAATATATATAATTATTTCAGTGTGCATTTAATTATTTCATGGTCCTGTGTCGCAGTGCATCGAAACCATTAAAAGAATCTGTCAAACTCACCCATCAAAGTTAGGGGGCGGGGTTAACGCGAATCGAGCCTCTGTAATCGATTTGCTTTGCCTTAATGTGCAGGGTGACCAATCAGGTGTTAGAGAACCGCCCCCTAACTTTGATGGGTGAGTTTGACAGATTCTTTTAATGGTTTCGATGCACTGCGACACAGGACCATGAAATAATTAAATGCACACTGAAATAATTATATATATTTTTTTTTATAAAATGAAGACATATTTTATTAAATTAATGACACATTTATATATTTAATTCCTTATTTATTTAATGAATTACACATTTAATTAATTGTTTATCGCTGTATTTATTTATTTAATTGTGGCACTTTATATTAGTGACGTGGTTTTAATTAATGAATGACACATTTATTTATTTAATTCCACATTGAATTAATTATTGACACATTTAATTATTTATTTAATGCTGTATTTATTTATTTAATTTTGGCACTTTTTATCCTCCATATTTAACACAATAATTGAGTTAAATGGATTAATTTTTGTGTTTGTAGAACAACAAAGAAAAGGAAAATTTTAAGGAGACTTTTAGGGAGGCAATGTCTCCTCTGTGTCGCATGAGGCTGCAGATTCTCACCTGAGACTGGTCAAAGTGGATGATGACTTTAAGGTCGGCTGGCCGGTCATTGAGGCCGTCTGTGAGAGTGGTCAAAGGTGCCGGCTCCAGCTGCGGGGAGAAGCAGGCCTGCAGCCACTCGGTGCACGTCATCATCTGCACCCGCTGCATCTTCTCCTCGCTCAAACGGAACATCTTACTGCGGAAGTCCTTCACTTCCTGGTCGTTGATGTTCTCCAGCTCATGGAGTCCTAGCAGAAGACAAAGAATAATATTTTGAAGACGACTGGGAAACCGTCGGACCAGCTGATCGTTTCATTCCCTCCGTTTCTTTCCCAGCTTTTCTGGAGAAAAAGGTTGCAGCACAAAAGGCCCCTTGATAAAAACACGCTGTGATTTACAGCCTCTCAGCATTTTATGACCCTCAGCATTCAGACAAGATCTCTGGTCATTATTAGCTTTTAAAGTGTAGGCCGGTTGTGTGACTGCAATGATGGGGGTGGGGGGGTGGCACAGTGAGTGTGTGCTGGTGTGCAGTGCAGGATAAACGGCCATCCATGCATGCCTGTGGTGTTCCACTTTACTTCAACAAAAGGCTTTAAAAGATCAAGTCAGACCACAGCGGAGCCAGGAAGGCAGAACCATCAATATCCTCTCAGGTCTCCATCTTTTAGACCCACAGCTCCTCTTTCTCATCATATTTCCTCGCATAGAGGTTAGTTAGGATCATCCCGGTTCTACAGCTATATCTTCAGGATGTGAGCAATGATTAGAAAGGCTAAAAAGAGTCTAACTTATTGCTGGACTCTTATCTTTTCTCTCTTATGTCACATTTGATTCAAGCCTTCGACCTTTTGCAGGACTTTTATCCTGTAAACCATCTTGTCCTCTAATAGTTAACCTGTGGGATTTATCTGTGGGGTTTTCTTAGAAAACGTCGTGCAGAGACTCAGGAGCGCTGCCTTACCTTTCCCAATGAGAACTCCTATCTTGGAGTCCAGCAGGCGCTCGGCTCGTCCGCAGTTGCGCGTCACCAGCTTCAGGACGGGCAGAAAGGGCCGGACGTCGCACAGCCGGCGGGTTTCATCCTCCAGCTCTTCGTGCACAGCTGCCTGGTTGACGCATTCGAACATGTGGCTCTCCATTTCGCCAAGAGACGGGAACAGAGGGAAGTTCTGAGCCTGCTTCCATAAGAGCTGAGGAGGAGGAGGAGAAGGAGGAGGAGAAAGACTTTTACAAAGGTTCTCCATGAGCTTTTCAACACAGCAAACCCTTTACTGCACTCAGCCATTTCTCAATATGTGTACTCGTGCGTTCTCATACGCTCGTGAAACGTCATCAGCCTCAGCACTAGTACTGTTCCGATTCACTGGAACAAGAACGCAGAGAACGGACAAAGTCCCCGGATGTTGTTCACGCCCCTCCTTTTTTACCCAGCATGCATCAGAGCAGACTTGTCTGTTCTTGAGATTGACAGCTATCCCAGCATGCACTGCAGCAGCAGCTTCCAGGTTAGCGCTCACAGAGTTAGCGCTCACAGAGCTCAGAGTATTAAGTTAAAAGTTCTCGTTTCTGTTGCCGTTGTTCAATAAAAGTATGTTTTAAGATCATTTGAGGCGAGATTATACTCTAAGCATCACTATATGACCCATTTACTGATTTAGTAAGTAATTCAAAAAATAGTTCAGATGTTGAGAGGACTGCGACAACCAGCGGACCTCCGAGGCTAACGGCAGCCAGGGCTAACGTTAGCCCGTCTGCAGCAGCCCTCTATCTCCATAGCCATGTGTGAAAACTGCTTTTTTTGTTTTATTTGTGTTTATACAACTGTGTTCATTATTTTCCCCCACTTAATGAATGAAGTCAGAATTTATTGTTATCTAGAGACTATTAATAACAGGAGGCTAAATGCAGCTCCAGATGAGCAGAGCCTGTGGTGATGTCATCAGTATGCTTCCATATTGACCCATATTTATGCTGTGTGCTCCAGTTCTCCCGGATTTCACATTTTCCTGTGTTCTTCTCAAAAACATACTTGGCGAGGACACGAGTCCGTGCTCGTGTTCTTTTAAACTGAAAAACAGCCCAAGTTAAAGAGGAACAGGTTCTGTTACATAAAGTATAATTGGTTTTAGTTAAATGGAAGGAGGATATAGTCCATTTGAGGCTTTTAAACTCATTCACTATCTGTTTAATATTAGAAAATAAAGCTACTTAGATTATTTTTAAAAGGCAGGAATTGAAGCAGGAGTTTAACTTATTTTTTGAGTTTTCTTCCTCCTTAAAGGTGTCCGCCTATTTGGCCTGACCAAAAGGCAATTTAATGTTTTTCATTTGGTCCAGTTCGTATTCAGGTTGTACTTTTTATTAGTGAACCGTCACTGATTTCAGAAATGTCTACGGCAGCATTAACTTGGTTTTATAGACATTTATTTTTTTTCCTAATTATTTTTCTTTTTTCACTTTTTATATTTTCAATTTTTACCTTTTTATAATTAAACGTTTTAAGCAGATTCTGTGTTTAAATTTTTTATGAAAATTTTCTGTTTTTCAGATTTTTATAAATAATTTTTCTTCAAATTTTATTTTTTTTTTTACATAAAATTAGAATGGAGTCGTCACTAGAGGAAAGCCTATCCCCAGAAGTGAAAAGCATGAATGAAAATTGTAAAAGTCCATCTGAAAAACATTAAAGAAAAAATGTTCAACAAATTAAGAAAAAACAAAAAAACTTTAAACTTAACTTTAAACTTCAAAAATTTGTTTGAAACTGACCAAATTTACTTTCAAAACCTTATATTGATAAAAAATTTTCAAAGTTTTTTTTGTAGATCACCTTTTTTTTTTTTTCCATTTTCAAAACCTGTTATCTGCTACCAAGAATAATGGAACAAAGTTCCCTCCATATGGACATAAATCCAATGGTCCAACGTTGCATAAAACGGGAATCAGTTTAACATCAGCTCTGACTGACAGGGAGCTTCAGCAGAAACTGTTTCTGATCTCATCTTTCATCTGGAGATACAGAGAAGCACATGAACCTTCTTCTGTTCCTCAATCAGGAGCCAACGTGGGTAAAACGGCTTCGGCCCACTGTATAAGCCGAGCAGAATCCTGCTCCTATTAGCTGTTTGAGCTCCGCAGGCAGAATTACTTTGATGGTTTTATCAATGATCTCCTCAGCATATTAAAAGAGAAAACCTTTGTGATGCCTGAGCTCATATTCATGTCAGAGTAAGATGATCTCTAACGTGGGTAACCATAGTCTATATGCATGCGCAAGACGTCAGATTTGCGTTTATCCTAGGGATGCACCGATCCAATATTTTTATCGGTATCGGTCCAGATATAAAGAAAGAAAATTAGATCGGTATCGGTGACAATCAATTTGATTCATTCTAACTCTATGATATGCTCTGCCATCATGCGGCAGCACAACAACACAACAAGGACATATTTTTATGATGGAGCGAGTGAAAGGGTCTGTGGTGTGGAGGTTTTTCTCCCTCTCTCAGCCTACTAGCCCACTGATGTGCAGGGAGAAATGCTCCGAGGGGCGGCGTTAAATCTTTAAACTATAACAAGTACAAAAAAATTGTAATTGAGTAAAAGTATCTTTACTTTGCCTAAATTTTACTCAGAGTAAAAGTAAAATTACCCATCTCAAAATTTACTCAAGTAAAAGTACAAAATTACTTCATTTAAAATGTAATTTGAGTAAAAGTTACTTAGTTACTTAGAGTTATTTAATGCAAAAAATGATGAGTCATGAATCGAATTGAGCACAAGGTGTTTTAATCGATTTCGAGGCGTATTTCAGTGACATCCACACTGGAAAAGATCAGCTGGGCTAAAGAACATACAGTACTTCCTCACAGCAGGACAGTCACAACCTAAACCATAAAGTCCAAACTATTTTCAATCCTACTGTCCAACAGACACCACCATGATAGGACATTTAAAGTTTTCAAAATGCACACAAAATTAAATGCCCAAAAGATACCAGAAATCAAACTAAAACGCAACAGGATGCCACTGTTATTAACAAGCTCCTCATTTAATGATTTTAACTGACACTTGTTTTACTTTAATAGTGATTTTAACTGACAATTGTTTTTACATCAATTGCTTATATGTTTGAATTGTGTAAATAAAGTGCTGTTAAAAGTCAAAAGTCTTCTTCTATTTTTTAATGGCGATCGGTGACACAGGGGTTTAAATTTCCGGCCACATTTCTTTTTTTCACCATGAGTATTTTTTATTTTTTTTTACTGAGTAACGTGAGGGGGTTTTAAATGTAGCGAAGTAAAACTACTTAGGTTAAAATTTACTCGAGTAAAAGTAAAAAATACATATTTCAAAAACTACTCAGAAAATTACAAATTACTCATAAAAAGTACTCAATTACAGTAACGTGAGTAAAAGTAATCCGTTACTTTCCACCTCTGGACGCCACCAACTTAATGAAACACCTCCAGAAGTTTCATAACAAGGAACATGGTGAGATTATTGGACTCGGCAAACAGAAAGGAAGCAGCGGCAAGCAGCTCACTTTAATGGAAGCAAAGGAAAGAAGTGAAATTTTTCCATGTAACAGTATACGGGCCAAAAAAGCACAGAGATGATATGAATGTTGCCTAAGACAGAGAACTTCTGGTTTAATGCTACGTTCACACCGGAAGCAGCAGGAGCAGCAAAATCGCGTCTGCTGCTTCATTTTTGCTGCTTGTACCAGTTAGTTCTGACGCGCGGCTGAAGTAGCTTTGCTGCTCTGGCTGCACGGTGCAAAAGTGGGTCTGACGCGCGTTGGGCGGAGCTACTCTATCCTTTCTCTGCCTTGCAGCTATATTTGCTGTGATCAGTGGGAATAAAGTAGTTTTAATATGTTTTTAAGTGAGAAAATACACCTGAAAACTTAATCAGTGCAGTCAGTTCATCCAGATTACCATCCTGCCTCCCAATATTATTTCTGTCGGAGCCGCTCAGACCCCCACATACCAGCGGTGCGCTGTCAGTAGGAATCCCATTCAACAGCAGCCTCTGGCCGGGTCGCCTCCTCGCGGTTCACCGCGGCAGCTTGTAGGTGTTTTTCATCTAAATAATCCAAACTGCAGGCAGCAGGATAATAAAAGCAAACATATTCTGCCGGCAGATTTCAGCATTTTTAGTTAATTTATGCGTCAATAAACTGTTTCCGAGGAGTGATCACAGCGCTCTGTGTCATCAGTGATGTGTCTGTCTCCCTGCCAGCTCCCAGATCAGCTTCTCTGATTGGTTGACGCGGCGCGTCGAGCAGCAAAAGTTAAGTTTTTCCATCTCGAGCAGCAGCGCGTTTGCAGCGTGTTTGCGGCACATTTGCGGCGCTTCACGCGCGTCAGATGCTTAAACGCTCCCGACGCGCTGCTTCAGCTGCATAAGTAGCATAAGATTTTGTGCAAAGTTGTTAAATAAATGATTCATAGCATTTATATTTGGGTTGTTTCCTATTTTATTAAAGAAAAGGGAAATCAAATCATATCCACAGAAGAATGATCCCAGTTTTATTTGTTTTTTTCACACAATAAAACAATTTTTTGGGTAATAATTCAGTGCTGTTTTTGGTATCGGTATCAGATCGGTATCGGTTGACATTAAACTTCAAATATCGGTATCGTGTCGGAGGTGAAAAAAGTGGATCGGTGCATCCCTAGTTTATCCCTTTAGTTTTGTAGAAAAATAGACTTTAAACTACCTCAGCAGGCGTATATCCCTTTAGTCATGTACAAAATAAACAATTTAAGGTCAGATCATCATACGCTTAAAAAAAAAAAAACACCAAAAACTAAGTGTTTTTTTGTCCAAAACTAAAGGGATAAACGGGTATTGACACTGGGTATGCTGATCTGACAGAACACCATCACTAAACTCTCTTTATGAATGTAGCTGCAGGTCGATCACTCAGAGAGGCACGAATTATGTCACACATGTTGGTGTAAAGAGCACAACTTCTGATTTTAAAGCGAAGTAAAGCAGAATCTCACGCTGATCCTTTAGATCAGATGTATTAATGTCACTTAGTCCTGTCTGAGGTGGGAAAACATTCCTATGAGACATAAGTGGCCTTAAGGCTCCTTAAAGCTCAGGCTCAGGGTTAAAATGCTGACAGGAGAAACAGCAATCGAACCACAGAGATGATCACAGGGAAGCAAACAGGTGTTGGATCATGTCTGACTGACGGCTAACCGTCTGGTCTCAGCGTTGTGGGACTTCTGTGACGCAGACGGGCTTTGGACGCGACAGCAGAGCTTAACCAAGTTGATAGTTTTAGCTTTAACAGAAACACGGCGTCAGAACCTCCCAGCTCCACTCACCAGTTTGATGTGTTGGATGGTGGCCTCGCGGGGAACATCCATCTGGATGTAGATGCCGGTGGGCAGCAGAAAGTCCACGGTGATCTGGTCCGGAGCGTGTCCGGCCAGGGGCGAGTGGGCCGCCCATATGTCCAGGAGGTCTGTCATGGCAGGAGGCATGGCAAGGGGCATCTAACACCACCTCCACCATAAGGACCTGGAAGAACAAACAGTCATGTTTCTTATTAGCTGACTGAGAAATAAATCATTTGTTTTAAGATTTAAGGCGATTGTAATTAAATTAATATTTCTGGATAAAAAAAAAACAATCCTGCAAATCTAAAAAAAGAATGAAATAATCCAAATTTACTCTGATATGTTGACATAAAGCACTACGGAAAATGACTTTTAAACGTCTACTATTAGTGAAGAGAGAACACCTCCATCTTTAAGTTTATAGAAGATCAGGAAGCTGAAGGAGCCGTTCACCTTCCAGGAGGACAAAGAGCCTAAATAGGCTGAACCTTTAAAACGGTTCAGATTAAAACTTTCGGAGGTAAAAAGTGGCCTAGTCAAAGTCCAGGCTTAAAACACAAGCTGTGTTTCCCTTCTAAACATGCGCCAAACTTTGTCAGTAATCAGCATTAAAGAACAAATGCAATATGCTGGTGAAGATTCTCAGTCATCCAGGTAATAATCATTCCAAAAAAAAAAAAAAAATGGTTAAAACAAGTTTGAAAAAGTTTCGCTTCCTGGATTAAACATTTCAGATTTTGAATCCAAATTTTGAAATTCAAATTCAAAATTTTGAATTAAAAAAAAAGCTTCCTGGTTGGGAAGCGAAACATCTTTTTTTAACTTTGTTTGGAACAAATGCAATATTGATCACCGGGGAATAAAGGTTGTTTATAAGAAAACTCGTTAAAAACATGCTGCTTCTTTATCCTCCCAATACTTCCTGATTTAATCTTTTTTTTAAATAATTAACACAGATTTGAATACAGCTGAAAAAAACGTCCTCATCCTAGTGGCTGTACACTGATTGCAGAACTCTGGCTGATCTTTAAAAATCCTTACTGCTGATTCTGTTTTTTCCCCCCAGTATTATCTTACTGAAAAGCACTGACTAATACCGGCGAAATAATCAAAAAAGTTTAAACTCCCCATTAGGTGCTGGCCTTTTATTTGAAACCAAAGTTTAGAGCAGGGAAATTGGAAAATTCAATTCAGTTCACAACACGTCACCTTAAGGCACTTTACAGTTCAACCAGATCATCCAGTCAGATTGATTCAAAGTTTTCTATCTAAGAAAAACCAGCGGATTGCATCGACTCATTGACTCGAAGGCAATCCCTCACACTAAGCATGCTTGTAGCAACAGTGGAGAGGAAAAACTCCCTTTTAACAGGAAGAAACCTCCAGCAGAACCAGGCTCAGTGTGAGCGGCCGTCTGCCGAGCAGAAGATAAGATCAGTTTCAGTCTGATCACAATCTTCAAAAAGCCGACCAATCAGTGCGGTCCTATAGCTTAGCACTAAAAGCTTTCATTCGAAGCAGGACCGGTCCAAGCCTCCATGGGGCCCCCAAGTAAAATGTATTTTTGGGCCCTTCTATTTATGCCAATTACAGGTGCTGGTCATAAAATTAGAATATCATGAAAAAGTAGATTGATTTCAGTAATTCCATTTAAAAAGTGAAACTTGTATATTATATTCATACATTACATACAAACTCATATATTTCAGATGTTTATTTTGTTTAATTTTGATGATTACAAATTACAACAAATGAAAATTTCAAATTCATCATATCAGAAAATTAGAATATTGTGAAAAGATTCAAAATTGATGGCCCCTGGTGCCACACTCTAATCAGCTAATTAACTCAAACCACCTGCAAAAGCCTTTAAATGGTCTTTCAGTCTAGTTCTATAGGCTACACAATCATGGGGAAGACTGCTGACTTGACAGTTGTCCAAAAGACGACCATCGACACCTTGCACAAGGAGGGCAAGACACAAAAGGTCATCGCTAAAGAGGCTGGCTGTTCACAGAGCTCAGTGTCCAAGCACATTAATAGAGAGGCGAAGGGAAGGAAAAGATGTGGTCGAAAAAAGTGTACAAGCAAGAGAGATAAGCGCACCCTGGAGAGGATTGTGAAACAAAACCCATTCAAAAATGTGGGGGAGATTCACAAAGAGTGGACTGCAGCTGGAGTGAGTGCTTCAAGAACCACCACACACAGACGTATGAAAGACATGGGTTTCTGCTGTCGCATTCCTTGTGTCAAGCCACTCTTGAACCACAGACAGCGTCAGAAGCGTCTTGCCTGGGCTAAAGAGAAACAGGACTGGACTGCTGGTGAGTGGTCCAAAGTCATGTTCTCTGATGAAAGTAAATTTTGCATTTCCTTTGGAAATCAAGGTCCCAGAGTCTGGAGGAAAAGAAGAGAGGCACTTCATCCACGTTGCTTGAAGTCCAGTGTAAAGTTTCCACAGTCAGTGATGGTTTGGGGTGCCATGTCATCTGCTGGTGTTGGTCCATTGTGTTTTCTGAGGTCCAGGGTCAACGCAGCCACATACCAGGAAGTTTTAGAGCACTTCATGCTTCCTGCAGCTGACCAACTTTTTGGAGATGCAGATTTCATTTTCTAACAGGACTTGGCACCTGCACACAGTGCCAAAGCTACCAGTACCTGGTTGAAGGACCATGGTATCCCTGTTCTTAATTGGCCAGCAAACTCTCCTGACCTTAACCCCATAGAAAATCTATGGGGTATTGTGAAGAAGAAGATGCAATACACCAGACCTAACAATTCAGAAGAGCTAAAAGCCACTATTAGAGCAACCTGGGCTATCATAACACCTGAGCAGTGCCACAGACTGATCGACTCCATGCCACGCCGCATTGCTGCAGTAATACAGGCCAAAGGAGGCCCAACTAAATACTGAGTGCTGTACATGCTCATACTTTTCATGTTCATACTTTTCAGTTGGCCAACATTTCTATAAATCCTTTGTTTTTATTGGTCTTCAGTAATATTCTAATTTTCTGATATGATGAATTTGAGATTTTCATTTGTTGTCATTTGTAATCATCAAAATTAAACAAAATAAACATCTGAAATATATGAGTTTGTATGTAATGTATGAATATAATATACAAGTTTCACTTTTTAAATGGAATTACTGAAATCAATCTACTTTTTCATGATATTCTAATTTTATGACCAGCACCTGTATAGCTGAAATCCACCATAAACTCATTGCAGCTCTGTCAACAGTCTCCTATTCTTGAAGAGCGTAAAATACAAAAAAAAAAAATAAATAAAATAACTGATAAACAAACCAATTGAAATAATCTGTTCATATAGCAAAATCATTTTACTTGACAAGATTTCTTCATTATTTCTCTTTTACATTTTATTTTTTACTTTTTACTTAAAATTTGAAATCTTCAAACAGGATCAATTATTAACACTTCTAAATATGTTTTTTATGTTAGTAAGAACCAAATAATTTGCATCATCTAATGTTATTAAAGGAAACATTAACATTAATGCTGTTTATTTAAGGTTAAAGTGTTGCAACAGCAAAATCAATGTGCAGAAATAACTCTTGATAAAACAAAATAATGGCTTTTTAAGGTAAAATAATAAATCAAAATGTTGAAAAGCAGATATTAAACAATGTTAACATTAAAATATGGAAATAAAACGTTACCTGTGTGTTTGTTACAACAAGGATAAAGAAATCATTATAGATTCAAAAAGAAAAGAACAGACAAGCAGACGCTTAGTTCGCTTCTGTCTTGGGCCGACTGATCGTAAAAAAGTGAGTTTTATCCAAATTTTAGCATTTCTATGAAGCAAATGTGTTTTCACCTATTTACAATTTGATGGTTAATGGAAACCTGGCTGCGGACGTCGTCCATCCCGTCCCTCTGAGCACGGCGCTACACTGAGTGATAAATCCACAGGGAAAAAAAAGTCTGACGCTTCGGACGTCACACCTTCATTAAACAAGAAGCTGAAGGAACACACGGAGCAATGCTGCCCTCACAGGGACACAGCAGCACCGAGGGCGGCGGGAAGCGGTCGGATTTCACCTGGATCGGGTCCAGCGCTCCGTGGAATGCCCACTAAGCAAACAGAACTAACACTTCAGCACCCTCCCCACAGAAAACCTACACGGTGGAAAGAGTCCAAGTTATTAGAAGGGCACGGCACACGTAACAAGGGCGGTCTGTTTCTTACAACACACGCCTCCATATGGGCTGCTGCTGAGGTAATTATCAGGGGAAGAGGTGAGTACGTGAACGCAGAGCTTCAAAGTGAAAACAGACGACCAAAATCTGTCATCCAGTGACAAAGCGTCATAAATTATCCTTTCTTAGTGCCACAATTTGAACAAAATAACAGCAAAAAATTAGCAATTCAAGACAACAATGCTCACCTGTGAGAGCATGGAGGGAGGCGGGGGGGGGGTGGAGGAGATGACACAGCAAGCAACTTTCCTTGCAGCTGGTTTCAAACTGAGTCCAGACAACATGTACACCACCACACCACTTCCACCTGCAGTATTCTCAGGCTGCCTTCCATCTGCACGCTAGGAAACGATAGCCCTGATTGCCTCTAATGGGTCTTTCTCCCAGCGAGCTAAGTGCACAAGCAAGCGGCCGATGAGCTGCAGAATGCTGCCACGTCTGTGGTGCATTTGCAGCGGCTATCTGGGGCACTTACCGTCATCAAACATGCAAATGGAAACAACGCTGCGAGTGAGTCTGTGTGCTGTTCAAACAGCGGATTGTTGTCAGAACATCCCACTTAAAAGGGGCTTTGCAATTTAAGCATGTAATATGAGAGGACACAGACGTAACCTTTAAAAGAAAAGAAAAATAATACTTTCAACAGAGGAGCTTCATGCTTCTGCAGCTACAAGTCTTATACAGATTCAACTGGACGTACACAACACAATCAGCCATTCAAATCTGCAGCCAAACTTTGAACACAAAGGTGCCCTGTTACAAACCGGAGAGGTAACTTGACTACAGGTCTGTGTGAGACTTTGACAGCCGTGTGTTTGTCAGGGAAGGATGAGCCGAAACATGCGCCGACATGTCTGCACAGGTGAGCTCTTCTCAAAAATGACAGCCGACCAAACGCCCTGCAGAAGCAGCCATATCCTTCAGCTGCATCATATTTAGTCACCTTACAGTCTCATCTTACTCTGGGTTTTACTGGAATTTAATAACATAGATCAGCACAAACTAGAAAATAACTGCAAAGCAGTGGAAAGGGACTTTATTTAAATATAAATGATTAATTAAACCAAAGACAGGTCAAACTGCTTAAGGCCTGAACACTACGGAAGAGGATTAGGGCCACTGAAAAAAAATAAATAAAAAAAGTTAACTGATTTTTAAATTTTATTTCAGTTTAACATGGGAAAAAAGTCAGAATTCTGACTTTTTTCTCAGAATTCTGACTTTAATCTCAGAAATCTGACTGAATTCTTACAATAAAAAAGTCAGAATTCTGAGATTAAAGTCAGAATTCTGAGAAAAAAGTCAGAATTCTGAGATTAAAGTCAGAATTCTGAGATTAAAGTCAGAATTCTGAGATTAAAGTCAGAATTCTGAGATTAAAGAAAAAAATCAGAAAAAAAGTCAGAATTCTGAGACTTCAATCTCAGAATTCTGACTTTTTTCCCATACAAAACTGAAAAAAAATATAAAAATCAGTTAACCTTTTTTTTTTTTTTCCACTGGCCCTAATCCTCTTCCGTAGAACACATCGGCTGCTTACGACTTTTTAATCCATGTCACACTGACTGCGTATAGAGGCTTTTTTTTAACTTCAGTCATTGTGCTATGCAAAATTAAATCAATTTCCCACATTTGACTTGGGTAGATCACGAAAAGTTATTAAAAAAATAAAATAAGATAATAAAAAAAAACACAGGCGCAGCTATAAAGCAAAGCTCCATTTAACGAGTTTGTGCAACATCTCAAACCAGGACACATACAATGTTCATATTAGGGATGGAACGGTTTATGAAAAATGCCTCGGTTCGGTTCGCGTGTGTCACGTTCGGTTCATGCACTGCTCCATTTTCTCATAGGGGAAGCGATTACACTCCAGAGCAGAAGGTGGCGGTACTGCGACCAAAGCCAACCACCAGTAGTAAACAAGAAGAAGAAGAAGCGAAGCAGCTTAGCCGGGTGTAGCAGAAAAAAATCAGGTGCTTCGGAGAATTGTGTGGGTATGGCGAGTGGGAAAGAACAGGAGTTGGAAGACGCGCCAGCAGCACTTTATAGGTCTGCTGTATGGGACCACTTTGCATTTAGAGTGACCTACGCTGACGGTGGAAAGAAAGTGTTGGATAAAAATGCAAAAGTGTGCAAACATTGTGCAACACGTGTTGTTTATGCTAACAGCAACACGACCAACATGTCAGGCTAACAATCAACATATACCGAACTGAACCGAAAACCGTGAGCACGAAACCGTGAACCGAACCGTGGACTTTGTGAAGCGTTCCACCTCTAGTTCATATATAAAAAAATAATGAGATCTACGTCTAAAGTACAGAAAAACTCTGCAATAAACGGTTTCTATGCTGACTGACGAAGAGAGGGGATTCAAAGAGAGAGATCTGAGAAGTTTATCCAAATTTTTCTTTTTTTTCCACATCCGCTGCGCTTACCTGCTCTGTCTGCCGCTCGTTATTTAGATTTTTGTGAGCCTCAAAGGATCACTATTTTTTTAAACCGTTTTTTCTCCTCTTGAAGCTTTTTATGCTTGATAAACTGCGATTTCTGTCCCTTGTTTTTTTTTTGTGGCTTAAAGAGGATCACCATTTTATCCGCTTTCTGTTCTCCTGAACTCCTATTGTAGGCGAATTTTTTTCATTTATTGTTTTTGCAGGAGTTTGTCTCACTCAGTATATACATTTGACTCCAAACTGACTCTCTGTGCGATTAACAGATTTTATTTTGTATTTTCCCCCAAAGCGGATGCGTTTCACTTTGTAAACGCGTCTCTCTTCCTGTCAGACCCTGAAATTGCTGCTGAATTGCTGCGTAGTCAGCCCTCTCAGAGACATAGACCAGTATGGGGAATTGCAGGCTAACAAAATTAGCCAAACGAACCCCGTTCCAAAGGGGGGGACCCGTTCGTCCGTTTCAATTTGCATGTTTTCTGAGCCAAAACAAGCCTTTGACGCTATTTCTGACATTTTGAATTGAAAAATCTCCCTGGATGGGAAGCAAACAGCATCAAACTTGGAAACAAAGTCCAGTGATTTGTTTATTAACTTTTTTGGAACGCGTAGTCCAACTAAAATAGACCTGGGCTCTATCTCAGTTGGATCTACGCAGCCCCCTTACGTAAAATCATGTCAGGCGTGATCATCCTCATTGACTTTCAATGAGCACTAAACGCCACAACCTCGTTCGATACGATTTTCTGTTGCATTGGATGCAAAATCTCATTCTGTGTTCTGGCTTTAAGGCACAAGTTTGCCTCACTTTACTTTAAAACCCTGAAGAAATCATGTTTGCTTTGGGAAAAAGTTTGGCCAACTGTGAGAGATAAAGAGAGAGTTCCTCTACTGCGGCTCATGCAGCTTCCCTCTGTCTGCCTGAATGTGCACAGGTGAGCAGGGTTACCGAGGGTGCGATGGCAGACGGCCAGAGGTCTACTGTCTAGGTCGGGTTTCAGCGGGGAGGATTAGAAAAGAACAAGTCTTTGTTGGCGGATCAGGAAGGAGAGAGTGTTTCATATGGTAACAAACAGAAGAGAGAAGGGATGCAGTCAGCCGACCCTGAGTCAGAACATACAGGCTCCTCCAGTCCGAGGTTAAGGATCCAGAAATATGATTCCACTTGTGCGCTTCCTCTGTGCAAACATCCAAGGAATAGGAGATGAGTAAACAACTTCAAGTCGACTCTAATTCAAAGGACAGATGACATTTCTGCTCTAAGTATAAAACCTGAGACAAACATAAAAGTTTCTTTTGCACAGATGAAGGAAAAAGTTTATCTCTGATTTGTCGTCTGGTAAATAGAGAAGCCAGACAACAAATAAACAAGAGGACGGCTTTAACCCTTTTTAGGGCACTCAGCGAAATACTTTGAAAATCAAAATTTCAAGCCAATAGTGTTATTGGAATCCAGGACAAGACCTTATTACCCTTGTAATGTTAAAAAATACTGATATTTTGATGGAAAAAATCACTGTCAACATCATAAGAAACGCCAACTTGTCCGAATTTATTAAGAAAAAAAACAAAAGGGGGAAATGCTCAGTGGAGCAGTGGGTAGCACTGCTGCCTTGCAGCAAGAAGGTTCTGGGTTCGATTCCCATTCTTTCTGCATTAGAGACTGACATTTTTTCGGGAATCCCACGGGTCACGGGATTCCCGCGGCATTCCCGTGGGATGGGAGTCAGTATTAGTAACGATCACGTGATTGGGACGGTACAGGATTAAACATTAACGGGAAAAGACGGGAACTAAAAAAAAACTAGGATCGATGCCAAAAAATAAAATAAAATGGAAAGAAAAAAAATCCAGTACTGGTGCCGCCATTTTGCAGTTTTTTTTCCTTGAAGCCTACACTATAATGCGAGTCAAAAAAACTACACGACACAAAAACCAACAGTGCTTCCGCTCTGAGTTTTTCACCCGCGCTCAAAAACAACAACAATGGAGGGACCAACAGTTACTACAGTTAGAAACTTAACTGACCCTTCATAGAAATTCAGATTCAATATATTGGCAGAAATCTTATTGAAGACAACAAGAATGGGAGTGGTGCAGGAGCGGGAGTCATTCTGAATGGGAGTGGGAGTAATTTCACCAGGAGTGGGACGGGACAGGATTTAGATTTCTACTCTGGCCCGGGATCGGGACGGGACACAATTTTTTTCTGTGGGAGTGGGACGGGACAGGAGTGAAAATCCACTTCTCTATTCTGCATGGAGTTTGCATATTCTCCCTGAGCATGTGTGGGTTCTCTCTGGGT